CTAATTGATAACTTTGTGTTTAACAAAAAGAGAGTGATGTCAAGAGATTATTTAAAAACATATGTTGTAATGTCTTGGGATGTTCTAAGTGCGGGGGTCTCCACAGCTGGTTGATAACTTTGCGTTCATAAAAATATAGTTATGTCAATAGATCATCATCATCATCATCATCATCCATCATCATCATCATCATCATAATCATATATATATATGTTGTAATGTCCTGGGATGTTCTAAGTGTGGGGGTCTCCACAGCTGATTGATAACTTTGTGTTCATATAAATGTAGATATGTCAATAGATCATTATAGCAATATAAGCTTCTCCGCTTACATAGAATATGCATGTTCAATTGCACTGGCAAATTTGCCGAAAATGTACTTAGAATATTCCCCGATTTCCATGCTGATTTTTTCCTCCCATGTGGCCTTTGCTCTCGAAGCCTTTGTACATCTCTATGGGGCGGCGAGAAATGCACTTTTTAGTACACAAAGTAATAAGAAATCGGTCAATTTGGGGATCCTGCCAGTTTTTGATGTTGGCACCAAACACCTTGTGAAAATTTTACCTATCTATTTGTCTGGAAACATGAAATAATTTATAAGGAAGAAATTTGGAAAAGTGAAGAATTTGTATGGAACATGTGAAGGATTTTTTAAGAAAAATGAAAAGCACATATGGAAAAATGCTTAATTTGACTGAACAAGTGAAAGAATTTCTATGGAAAAATGACGAATTCGTCTGGACAAGCGAAAGAATTTATATGGTCCAACGGTATTCTAAGTATAGGTTTTTTGACGTCAACTGTATTCTAAAATATTCTAAGTATCGTTTTTCAAGTTCAATTCCTGGGATGCCCGGGGAAGCCAAAATTTCAATTCCATATTCTGTGTGGGTGGGAGACCTTGTATAAATATATATATATGCTGTAATGTCTTGGGATGTTCTAAGTGTTGGGGTCTCCACAGCTAATTGATAATTTTTGTGTGCATATAAATATAGCTATGTCAATAGATCATCATGGGATGTTCTAAGTGCGGGGGTCTCCACAGCTAATTGATAACTTTTGTGTACATATAGATATAGTTATGCCAATAGATCATCATGGGATGTTCTAAATGATCTGTTTTCCATGTTCTAAGTGTGAGGGTTTCCGGCTGTTCCAAACATAGCTTTAGACATAAAAATAAAAAAGCGTTTTCCAAATGATGTTCTAAGTGACTGCCCGGCACTATGAACTTTTTTGGGCAAGGGAACCCACTGACTAAGTATTAGAACAGCTGCCACTGGGGTGCAGCCCTCTTTTTGCCAGTACTTGGCCTTCCTTGTTTGCAGGAAACATAGTTCGGTTTAAGTGTTGTTCTTTCATGAGATTCAGGTGTGGATATAGGTAGATGGTCGTTAATCATTTTGTGGATCTTCCCCCTGAAGAAATACTCGCCGCAATTGATCAATGGACAGGCACTGTACTCCTTACGGAAAGCAGTGATCCGCTCTTTCCGGGAAAGCCATGGTTTCTTGATGTCGCCATGAGACCATCTGCCAGGATATGTTTCGTGGTTATTGCCTCGGCGGCTTGATCTTTGCGCTTGTGTCGCTTGATAAAGTCACTATTTGAGGCGAAGGTGGTGCTGGCACTAAACAGTTGAATTGTTACCCAGCCCTGAGAATCCATGAATATCCATGACAACAACATGGATGTCAGGCTGATGTCGAGAATAGCGCGCACATTGTCAGGATTTTTGGTTTCATACCCTGTTGCTAAGGGTGTGTGTTCTCTACATTGGATGCCATGTTTTCGTGGGCCACAATCCAAAGCGAGATGACCTGATGGCATGCACATATCATGCTATGCGTCGCTCAGGCTGCAGTCATCCGTTCAGTCATCATTTGTTGGTTCTGCTGGGTAAGCCGAAATTGATGAAACCCTTTCCAGATACCAAAGTCTGTTTGGTTTCAACGCAGGCTTCTCAAACAAGAACATACAAGATCCAATATTCCCAGCGATTCCTGGGTTTCTAGATGTTTCACGATTTGTTTGCATGCAGAGAACCACTGTACTTGGCCGTGCTTGGACTATGGATGTTGGCATGTTGAAGATATTTGTTCATAGAACCTTTCTCTTTGCATCAACGTATAACGTGTAGCAATGCAGCCTGACATCCAAGGTCCTTTGGGCGTATTCAAACGTGTGGTGCGTTGCCCGGTGGACCAGGCAGAAGAAAAACAACCTCACTGGGGCAGAAACTCAGCTGCCATGGTTTCCTTGGATCGGATGGGCATCCACATGTTTTACAAACTCTCTATCACCCATCTATATTAACCCATATATAACCTTTTCATACATGTCCTTATGAAATACTCAGTAGGCATGTCATGACATGATTTGACGTAACTGCCGGTCTTTGACCGCGGATTAGGTTCTGGCGGGGGGATTCGCCGCAAGGAGGTAACTTTTTTGCTTTATCTTGGCTAGCTCCACTTCTCTCTTGCATCCAGTGTCACCTCTGCCCTGGTGAAGGCCAGGGACGGAGCAACCTTTTTTCCGGTGGTTGCTTGAAGTAAAGTGTGCATAGACTATGAGAAAGTGGATGCAGCCAGGATTTTTGTCTATGGCAAAGCCATCAGAATATAAATCTTCTGGTGGTGGAGGAAAAAGAAGGTGTCCTGACATATACATATACATATACATATACAAACCCCGAAACCAGCTTCACTAGCGGTGATGGCCGTGAGGGTGGAGCTGGTGGATGGGAAGAAGGCTGACTCCCGAGCATTTGAGACAGCCTACTCCAAGGTGTGTGACCACATCTACTTCAAGTGCCTTGACGATCAAGGGAACGCACAGGGACATGCAGTTGCAGATGTCGTCAAGAAATACCGAGCTGATGAAGATGGAGCCTTCTTGCAACTGCGCTACATCCAGGTAGAGGATCAGCATTACCAACACTGGTTGGAAACATCAGGAGGTGGTAGTCAGTATCACCACCTGTGCACCCATTCCCTGAGGTCTTGCCAGCGTAAAGTTGGACGGGATGGGATGGTGCATATACAACACTGGCTGGCCGTGGATAAGGACCAAGTGGGGAGCATCACAAGAGGATGGAAGACAAAGCCTCTTCAGCTTGGCCCACCTGCTCCTCCCAGGGGGATTGCCCTCATGGAGTAGCCAATCCACACGGTGCCTAAGCCCAGACCTGATCGTCGAGGACGTGATGAAGCTAGGCGACATGGTCACAGCCCTGGTGATGGCCAGGGAGGCAGAGGAGAGAGGGCCAGGACCCCCCGGAGGAGGATGACAGTGAAGAGGACGATGATGCGGGGATGTCCAACGTCCCTCGAAGAAGGCGACACCGTGAGGAGCGCGGAGAAAGAGATGAGGACTCAAGGGAAGACAGAAGAGGAGTCTTGCAGCGGGCAAGAGGCACAGTGGGGGCTGTGGCTCGAACCAGAGACGCGCAGGACCTAAAGGAGAAGACTCCCTTGACGCCATGCTGGAGGATGGAATGGATCCTGGGGGGGTGCCAGTGCAGTGCTGGCGAAGAGAGTTCAAGAAGGAGCAGAAGCCGCCCCGAACAAAGAAGTAAAAGATCAGAGCGAGAGAAGCTCACAGGGGCATTGAAGGCCCTGAGCAAGAAGAGCAAGGATGTGTCTTTGAGCTTTGATAGCGATACAGATGACGAGGATGAGGGCTACCTGCGCAGCAGCTCAAAGGATGGAGATCTGATGAGCAAACAGAAGCGGCTCAAAAAGTTGTCTGCATCAAAGCCCGGAAGCCTGTTGGCCCGTGGATTTGGGCTCATGCATGAACAGCTGGGGATGCTGTTTGGTGATAAGGGGTCCGGTGGCAGCCATGAGGATCTCTTGCAACCGGCTGCACTGCGCTACCTCTTGTCAAGCGCCTTGCCGTTGATGGATCTGAAGAAGGTAGGAGAAGAAAAGATGCGCGAGCTGCGAACCCTGGCGACGTCCTTGGACTACCTGGTTGCCGGCAAGGTGGGGCAATCTGGGGACATACAAATGCAGCGGATGAAGAGCATCCTTATGGGCATCAAGGATGGTTCAACCACGGCGTCACGCTACTTGGAACTGGTCCCCATCGAGCTGTACCCCACAGCTGCCACCATTGAGGAGGCAGATTATGCGCGTGGGAACACCATCGAGCTCCAGCTCTGAAAGCCAACAAGAGGCCGAAGAGTCCAAGCCGCAGCGGGAGCCCTTTATAGAGGAAAGTCCAGTTCGATCCAAAGGTGAAGGAAATCCAAGGGCAGAAGGAGGATGCACAGCCAGGGCCGATGCGTATGAAGGAGGCCAGGGATGCCGTGCCGCGGAAAGAGGGGGAAAACCGCTCTCAATGGAAGTCCCGGGTGTTCCAGAACAAGAGGAAGATGGAGGAGGAAGCGGCCAAGGAACAGAGGAGGAAAGGACTCCTGTGTTGGCAGGGGAGAAGGCTTGAGATGGAGGTCTGGCACAGGCGTTAGCCTTTGTGGAAGCAAGGGAAGATCCCAGTGAATTCAAAACAAGGGGTGCAGCTGATGCCCGTGTAGCTGGGGTTACAGAGACCAGTGTGAAACATGGCGAGTTTTTCCAGGTTTCCTGACAAGTAGGGGAGGCCAGAGGTGACCCTCGCGGCTCTTTGAAGTGGTTGGTTGATGATGTCTTGGAGTTTGAACGAAAATGTCATTGTGGGCGCAGGAGGTGCGCATTTTGATTTTCAAAATAGCAGCCACTTGCAGCCACTTGCAGCCACTTGCCTCGTCAGCCATTTGCAGCCACTTGCAGCCACTTGCACCCACTTGCACCCACTTGCACCCACTTGCACCCACTTGCACCCACTTGGCAGCCACTTGCAGCCACTTGCTGCCACTTGCTGCAGCCACTGGAGCAAGTGTCTGCCAAGTGGCTGCAAGTGGCTGCAAGCGGCTGCAAGTGGCTGACGGGGCAAGTGGCTGCAAGTGGCTGCAAGTGGCTGACGGGGCAAGTGGCTGCAAGCGGCTGCTAGTGGCTGCAAGTGGCTGACGGGGCAAGTGGCTGCAAGTGGCTGCAAGTGGCTGCCAAGTGGCTGCAAGTGGCTGCCAAGTGGCTGCAAGTGGCTGCAAGTGGCTGCAAGCGGCTGCAAGCGGCTGACGGGGCAAGCGCGGCAAGTGGCTGCAAGTGGCTGCCCAGCGGCTGACGGGCCAAGTGGCTGCCAAGTGGCTGCAAGTGGTTGCAAGTGGCTGCAAGTGGCTGCCAAGTGCTATCTTGAAAAACTAGACGACGGATGGCCCGAGAGCGTAGAGGAGCAGGGTCTTCTCTTGTTAGTATGGAGACACCATATTAGAAACAATATATTAAAGATGTGTTATATGCAGTCGAGAAGAGGAGTATTAAGACAAAATAGCAGAAGTGCAAGGCAATAGTTTGCATCGCAAACACTTTTACACACAAAAGCTTTTACACACAGACGCTTTTACATACAGACCCTTTTACGCACAGACCCTTTTACACGCAAAGCTTTTACCCACAGAAGCTTTTACATACAGAAGCTTTTACACACATACGCTTGCACACAGATGCTTTTACACACAGACACTTTTACACTGACACTTTTACACACAAACCTTTTACCCACAGAAGCTTTTACATACAGAAGCTTTTACAAACATACGCTTTTACACAGATGCTTTTACACACAGACACTTTTACACACAGACACTTTTACACACAGACGCTTTTACACACAAAAGCTTTTACACACAGACGCTTTTACACACAGACGCTTTTGCACACAGACGCGTTTACACACTAACACTTTTACACACAGACGCTTTTACACACAGACCCTTTTACACACAGACGCTTTTACACACAGTTACACACAAAAGCTTTTACACACAAAAGCTTTTACACACTAACGCTTTTACACACAAAAGCTTTTACACACAATCACTTTTTCACACGGACGCTTTTACACACACAGACGTTTTACACACAATCACTTTTACACACAGACGCTTTTACACACAGACCCTTTTACACACAGACGCTTTTACACACAGTTACACACAAAAGCTTTTACACACAGACGCTTTTACACACTAACGCTTTTACACACAGACACTTTTACACACAGACACTTTTAACAAAGAGCCTTTTACACACAGGAGCTTTTACACACAGAAGCTTTCACACACAGACGCTTTTACACACAGACGCCTTTACACACAAACACTTTGACACACAGACACTCTTACATACAGACGCTTTTACACACAGACGCGTTTACACACAGACCCTTTTACACACAAAAGCTTTTACACACAGACGCTTGTACACACAGACGCTTTTACACACTAACGCTTTTACACACAGACACTTTTACACACAGACACTTTTACACACAGACGCTTTTACACACAAAAGCTTTTACACACAAAAGCTTGTACACACAGACGCTTTTACACACAGACGCTTTTACACACAGACGCCTTTACACACAAACACTTTGACACACAGACACTCTTACACACAGACGCTTTTACACACAGACGCGTTTACACACAGACCCTTTTACACACAAAAGCTTTTACACACAGACGCTTTTACACACAAAAGCTTTTACACACAGACGCTTTTACACACAGACGCTTTTACACACACAGACACTTTTACACACAGACGCTTTTACACACAAAAGCTTTTACACACAGACGCTTTTACACACAGACGCTTTTACACACAGACGCGTTTACACACTAACACTTTTACACACAGACGCTTCTACACAGACCCTTTTACACACAGACGCTTTTACACACAGTTACACACAAAGCTTTTACACACAGACGCTTTTACACACTAACGCTTTTACACACAGACGCTTTTACACACAATCACTTTTACACACAGACGCTTTTACACACACAGACGTTTTACACACAATCACTTTTACACACAGACGCTTTTACACACAGACCCTTTTACACACAGACTCTTTTACACACAGTTACACACAAAAGCTTTTACACACAGACGCTTTTACACACACAGACTGACGCGTTTACACACAGACGCTTTTACACACAGAAGCTTTTACACACTAACACGTTTACACACGGACGCTTGCTTTTACACACAGACACGTAAAATCGCAATTTTACCTCAGTCTTTGCCGATCGACCCTCATTTCGTGCGAAAGGGTTGCTCGGGGACAAGTAAATTCGCAATTTTACCGCAGTTTTTGCCGATCGACCCTCATTTCGTGCGAAAGGGTTGCTCCAGGACAAGTGAAATCGCAATTTTACCTCAGTTTTCGACAATCGAAGATAATCGAAGCTCATTTCGTGCGAAAGGGTTGCTCCAGGACAAGTGAAATCGCAATTTTACCTCAGTTTTCGCCGATCGACCCTCGTTTCGTGCGAAAGGGTTGCTCCAGGACAAGTAAAATCGCAATTTTACCGCAGTTTTTGCCGATCGACCATCATTTCGTGCGAAAGGGTTGCTCCAGGACAAGAGTAAAATCGCAATAATTTTACCTCAGCTTTTGCCGATCGACCATCATTTCGTGCGAAAGCGTTGCTCCGGCACAAGTAAAATCGCATTTTTTTTCGCCGATCGACCCTCATTTCGTGCGAACGGGTTGCTCCGGCACAAGTAAAATCGCATTTTTTTTTCGCCGATCGACCCTCATTTCGTGCGAACGGGTTGCTCGGGGACAAGTAAAATCGCAATTTTACCTCAGTTTTCGCCGATCGACCCTCATTTCGTGCGAAAAAGGGTTCACGTTTCGTGACTCCCCGCCGGCACCACCCTCGGCCTAAAGAGAGAAAGATAAAGAAGGCGAGAGAGATAAAAGGGAGAGAGAAAGGAGAGAGAGAAAGGAGAGAGGAAAGAGGAGAGAGAGTGAGAGAGAGAGAAGATGTGAAGATGAGAAGGTGTGAGAGAGGGTGTGAAGATGAGAAGGTGTGAGAGAAGGTGTGAAGAAGAGCAGATGTGAAGAGGAGCAGATGTGAAGATGAGAAGGTGTGAAGATGAGAGGATGTGAAGATGAGAAGATGTGAAGATGAGCAGATGTGAAGATGAGAAGGTGTGAGAGAAGATGTGAAGATGAGAAGGTGTGAGAAGATGGGAAGATGTGAAGATGAGCAGATGTGAAAATGAGAAGGTGTGAGAGAAGATGTGAAGATGAAAAGGTGTGAAGATGAGAAGGTGAAGATGAGAAGGTGTGAGAGAAGGTGTGAAGATGAGAAGATGAGATACAGACCCCCACTATTGGAAGAACCCTGCGCTCAGACGCTCTCGGGAAAAAAGTGATTTTGTATACTTTACTTTTTCAAAATTGCAGCAAGTGGCTGCCAAGTGGCTGCCAAGTGGCTGGCGGGGCCAGTGGCTGCCAAGTGGCTGCCAAGCGGCTGCCTGAGCAAGTGGCTGCAAGTGGCTGCTTTGGCAAGTTGCAGATGGGCTGCTTGTGGCTGTAAGTGGCTCTAAGTTCTACTTGCTGCAATCATTGGCAGCCACTTGCAGCCACTTGCTCAGGCAGCCACTTGGCAGCCACTTGCAGCCACTTGGCAGCCCAGCCCCTTGGCAGCCACTTGCCCCGTCAGCCACTTGGCAGCCACCTGCCCCGCCAGCCACTTGGCAGCCACTTGGCAGCCACTTGCTGCAATCTTGAAAAAAAAGTAAAATCTACAAAATCACTTTTTTTTCAAGATAGCACTTGGCAGCCACTTGGCAGCCACTTGCAGCCACTTGCAGCCACTTGCTCAGGCAGCCACTTGGCAGCCACTTGGCAGCCACTTGGCAGCCATTTGCCCCGCCAGCCACTTGGCAGCCACTTGCTGCAATCTTGAAAAGAAGTAAAATCTACAAAATCACTTTTTTTCAAGGTAGCACTTGGCAGCCAGCTGGCAGCCACTTGCAGAGCACTTGCCCCCTCAGCCGCTTGCAGCCACTTGCAGCCACTGGCAGCCACTTGGCAGCCAATTGCAGCCACTTGCAGCCACTTGCCCGGTCAGCCACTTGCAGCCAGCCACTTGCCCCGTCAGCCACTTTCAGCCACTTGCAGCCACTTGCAGCCACTTGGCAGCCACTTGCAGCCACTTGCATTCACTTGCAGCCATTTGCCCCGTCAGCCACTTGCAGCCACTTGGCAGGCACTTGGCAGACACTTGCTCCAGTGGCTGCAGCGAGTGGCTGCCAAGTGGCTGCAATTGGCTGCAAGTGGCTGACGGGGCAAGTGGCTGCTTTTTTGAAAAGTAAAATTATGCACGTTTGCTCGCTCTCTGGAAAATGCGATTTTTTCAGAAGTCTTCAGTTGAGAACTCTTCGCAACATGCCCCTTTCAAAGGCTGTGTTATCAACTTGTTCAGTTGAAGCCGTCGGTCATGCAGTTGGGCTTTTCAATAATTCAGCTCCTGCTAGTCAGCCCACGAGATGGGATCAAGGTTTCAAACTGGATTGTCATGCAAATGGAAAGTGATGTTGGCTTTTCATACGCCACCATGTCGGGTAAGGGATGTGTTACCGCTACCCTTGCCCCCAGTGGGAGCTGCGTTGACATTGTTGCAGAGGTTTGCAGTCACGCGCACAGGTCTGCTGATAATCTCAGACATGGCGACGGGGAAACCGAAAAAACAGGGGCGACAACAGTTGAAGCAGCTGGTACCTTTTCAGGGATGAATGATGATTGGAAGTTTACTTCATGGAAATCCCCCTCACCAACTCCTTCACAAACTGCAGCACTTGAAGTTATTGATCGTTGGGTTGGAGCCTTTTGTCATGCTCAATGCTCCATCAAAAGAAGCCGCAATACCTACTTTCAGGGATTTGGTTAACTCACGCACAGTCGATTATTCAGGGGATGAAGTTGGTCACGCCTTGCCTTTGAGGCTGGAAGAGCTGGAGCCGGGCTTGCCGCTGAAAGGCAGAGCAGGCGCGCTCAGTGCAGTGGAGGCTGCAACTGGGCAGTGCGTGGTTGGGTCAGGGATCTTGGGATCATGCATATTGGGGAACTCTTTCAATGTGTAAGCCATCACACTTCTTTTGGATGAGCTGCTGTGCACCGCCAATCAGCGACACACACCAAGGCAACTTGACCGCATTCTAGCGCGGGAGGAGACGGCACCCCCTGGTTGGTGTGAGAAGCCCCAGTTTGAACCTTCTTCACAACCTGATGCAGCTGCGGGCATGTTGGTTCAAGAATTCATGCGTCACAGTGATTGAGGGGGATGCGATGTTAAATTTGATCTGGGCATACCCTTTCGGTCAAAAGCATGGCCCCGAGCTGGGATCCGTTCAAGCTTGTTTCATTGGACAATTATTCATGGGTACCCATGGAAACACCAAGCTCATATCAATGTATTAGAACTTCAAGGTCTAGTCAATGCCCTGCAATGGCGCCTGAGAAAGGTCTCAGGGTTCCGCTGCCCCCTTTTTGCACTTGGTGGATAGCCAAGTGATTGCAGCGGCGGTGGCCAAGGGACGGTCCAGTAGCCATAGTCTCCTGCGGCTCTCGTCCCTGTGTGTGGCAGGGGGACTTCAACTGGCTAATGGCTATGTGGGGACCCACGATAACCCTGCAGACCTACCTAGCAGATGGGCAAAAGGGCGAGTCATCAGGTTGAAGAAAGGAGACAAGAACGCAGGCGACAAAGGGCAAATTCAGCAGGCTGCTATGAGTGCGCTTCGATTTTGGAAAAATTCTGGAACGATGCCCAGCACCTGGGATGAATTTGATGTGGCTACAGGTCAGTGGCTGGAGAATATTGTTGCCGAAGGGTACCCAAAGGGATATGCCTCTGATGGTCTTGCAGCCCTCCAGCATTATGTCCCTGAAGTTGCCGGCAAGGTGAGACACAGCTGGCGCTTGCTGAAATCTTGGCAGAAAATGGAGCCGCCGGTGCGAGTTCTCCCAATCAGCCCGCTAATGGCGGTGGCCATTGTGGAGCTTGCGCCAACCTTCCTGCTTTCCTTCGACACTTTCCTCAGACCGGGGGAACTGTATCGCCTCACTAAGCAGGACATCACATGGGCTGGCAGTTTAGCAGTGTTATCCCTGAAGAAAACTAAATCGGGGCAACGCCGGAATGATGGTGGTATATGCCACTCACGCACCGCAAACATTTGGCTGTGGAAAGCTCTTCAGCACAAAAAGCCTCAAGATCTTCTGCTGGATGAAACTCCGTCGCAACTTCGCCCACTCTTCTTTCACCTTTTGGAACATCTGGAAGTGCCAGGGCATTTCTCCTTGTATAGCTTTAGGCGTGGTGGCGCCACGTGGCATTTCTTGTCACAAGACAATATAGAGCAGACGCTCTGACGTGGTACTCGTAGGTGGGCTTCTACCTCCACGGCCCGCATCCATTTGCAAGATGCTGCTGCCACCTTGAGCCATTTGCAAATTAGTGAGGAGCAACGGCATTACATGCGCTTCTTAGCCAAGCAATTGTCGGCCCCTGGCCAGGATGGAAAACGTGGAAGGAGGTAACTTGCTTGCTTTATCTTGGCTAGCTCCACTTCTCTCTTGCATCCAGTGTCACCTCTGCCCTGGTGAAGGCCAGGGAAGGAGCAACTTTTTTTCCGGTGGTTGCCTGAAATAAAGTGTGCATAGGCTATGAGAAAGTGGATGCAGCCAGGATTTTTGTCTATGGCAAAGCCATCAGAATATAAACTTTCTGGCGGTGGAGGAAAAAGAAGGTGTCCTGACATGTCCTTATGAAACATTCAGTGGGCATGTCATGACATGATTTGACGTAACTGCCGGTCTTTGACCGTGGATTAGGTTCTGGCGGGGGAATTCGCCGGAAGGAGGTAACGTTTTTGCTTTATCTTGGCTAGCTCCACTTCTCTCTTGCATCCAGTGTCACCTCTGCCCTGGTGAAAGCCAGGGACGGAGCAACCTTTTTTTCCGGTGGTTGCCTGAAGTAAAGTGCGCATAGACTTTGAGAAAGTGGATGCAGCCAGGACTTTTGTCTACGGCAAAGCCATCAGAATATAAATCTTCTGGTGGTGGAGGAAAAAGAAGGTGTCCTGACATATACATATAGATATAATATACATATATATTTACATATAGATATACATATAGATATAGATATACATATACATATAGATATACATATAGATATACATATACATTTACATATACATATACATAAAGATATACAGTTACATATATATATATTACACAGCTGGGGTAATTAGCTGGTTATTACCAACTTCGCAATTGGGACGCACCCCAAGTACCAGACACTGGAAATATCATGGTGGCCTGGCGGTTTCAGATGTTTATTTCTAGTTCCTGTTGTCGAAGACTGGGTTGGGGAAATCAATCAGATGCAGACCTAAAGGACGCTAGAACACATGCACCTCTTTGCGCCAGAACGTATGCATACCTATATGCTGGTAGTGATACTGGTGAACTGAGTGTCCAGCAAGTCTTGGATACCACTGATGGGAAGAAAGTGATTGTTTTTGTGCTACCAAGTAGTAGGTGCAGTTTAACGCTCCGGACCTGCCATGCCTTGGCAAAAACGTGAAACACTGAGGGTGTGTGATCTATTTTTTCGGTGGCCTGATCATAGAGGTTCTAGCAACTTGGCGGAGTGTGGTTCTAGGGTTGGCCATGTTGGCGAGACTTCAGGGTTTTGGCTGAAATTTGTTTTCATATTTGTTGCTACCTGCTGTTTGGTAATTAGTGACCTGCATTTTTTGGATCTGCGAGTCCTCGGAGCCACGCGGTCATAACTGCAGCTGCCTGAAAGCCACAAAACCAGCATCGGTGGATGCTATCTGTGAATATCCGGGTTTAGATCCTCAAAGCAACTTCACCCACTTGGTCACAAGTTTACAGTTTCATACAAGTAACCCGCCATGCAGTGAGGTGTTGGTGATCTTCGTGATTTTCCACAATTTCCATTGTGCCAGCCGGCTGCACTTGAGCCATGACCTTTGCCCACTGGTTCCACGAGGAGATGAAGTAGGATTTCTGGCCAAAGTTGTTTGCATTGTGTGGGTCATTGTGGATCTTTGGCACTTTGGTTTGACACAGTCGCAACGTCATGCACACTGCAGGTCTTTATTGGACAGCACCCCGGTAGCACTGCTGGAGAATGCTCTGTGCGTCCAGTACCATGTGACTGAAATATACTGAAAAGAATCTGAATGTTCGAGTAGAATTCGGGGTTGCAAGAATCTGCATCGGTCATGATCGGTGCTTTTGAATGGTCCTTGTCATTTGCTATCACTTCTTGGTGTAGTTTCCTGTGCAATTAATAATCACGTTCAGCACATTATTGCACATTAAGGCACGAGATGTGCCAGCTTCAGGGTTAAGAGTTGGGAATGTTCGCACGCAGTTTTGTTGTTTAGCCCCTGATTTTCATGTGCTTTATGCATCGAGAAATCGATACATAGCCAGATAGTAATAGACAGATAGACATATACATATTGCACATGCATTAAAAATTAAGTTTATTATGTTTGTTGATCTATTTGCTGCAATAGTTGTATATAAACATCTTTTGATGATGCCATGCACTATATATAACATATGATATATGTGTGTGTGTTTATATGCACATTAAAATGTTAAACAACCATTTTCTATCCAAGTCCGTTGCAACCTTGAACAGCCTTGAGGTTACTGGCCACAATCTTGTGGGCCATGGCGGTCCGAAACTATGCCCCGCGACTTTTGGGCAAGGCCTTTTGGTGTACCTTCGTGTTCCGCGGCAGCAGCTGTGTCATGGGCGGCTCTGAAATGGGGAAATCATGGTGTATCATATCCCTGAAACTGCTGAATTCGAAGAATTGATGTTTTGAAGCCATCAAATTTGATCGGATTTGGGGATGCCCTATTTTCAGGGGAATGCTGAAGTATAAGATGTCATCCAGTTCGGGACTCTTTGTGTTTCATGCTGCTGGAGCTCGGGTTCCTCAGTATTTCCCGAGAGCGCCTGCGAAGGGTTCTTCGTAAAAAAGCAGCCGTTATATACATCTTCACACCCTCACATTTGCTGATCTACATCTTCACACCTTCACACCTGCTGATCTACATCTTCACACTCTCACATCTGCTGATCTACATCTTCACACCTTCACATCTGCTGACCTGCATCTTCACACCTTCACATCTGCTGATCTGCATCTTCACACCTTCACATCTGCTGATCTACATCTTCACACCCTCACACCTGCTGATCTACCTCTTCATACCCTCACATCTGCTCATCTTCACACCCTCACACCTGCTGATCTACATCTTCCCACCTGCACATCTGCAGATCTACATCTTCACACCCTCACATCTGCAGATCTACATCTTCACACCTTCACATCTGCAGATCTACATCTTCACACCTTCACATCTGCAGATCTACATCTTCACACTTTCACATCTGCAGATCTTCTCGTCTTCTTTCTATCTCTCTCTTAAGGCGGGGGCGGTGCCGCCGGAGCGCCACGAAACGCAACCCTTTCGCACGAAATGGACGTTGAACGTCAAAAACTGCGGTAAAATTGCGATTTTGAGGTGTCACGGGCGACCTTTTCGCACGAAATGGACGTTGAACGTCAAAAACTGAGGTAAAATTGCGATTTCACCGATTGTAAAAGCGTCTGTGTGTAAAAGCGTCTGTGTTTAAAAGCTTCTGTGTGTAAAAGTGTCTGTGTGTAAAATGGTCTGTGTGTAAAAGTGTCTGTGTGTAAAAGCTTCTGTGTGTAAAAGCTTCTGTGTTTAAAAGCTTCTGTGTGTAAAAGTGTCTGTGTGTAAAATGGTCTGTGTGCAAAAGTGTCTGTGTGTAAAAGCGTCTGTGTGTAAAGGAGTCTGTGTGTAAAAGTGTCTGTGTGTAAAAGCGTCTGTGTGTAAAGGGGTCTGTGTGTAAAAGCGTCTGTGTGTAAAAGCGTCTGTGTGCAAAAGCGTCTGTGTGTAAAAGCGTCTGTGTGTAAAAGCGTCTGTGTGCAAAAGCGTCTGTGTGTAAAAGCTTCTGTGTGTAAAAGCTTCTGTGTGTAAAAGCGTCTGTGTGTAAAAGCGTCTGTGTGTAAAAGCGTCTGTGTGTACAAGCTTCTGTGTGTAAAAGCTCTGTGTGGTACAAAGCGTCTGTGTTGAGCGTTTGTTGTGTAAAGAGTCTGTGGGTGTAAAAGTTCCTGTGTGGTAAAAGCGTCTGTGTGTAAATAAATCGTTCTGTGTGTAAAAGCGTCTGTGTGTAAAAGCGTCTGTGTGCAAAAGCCTCTGTGTGTAAAAGCTTCTGTGTGTAAAAGCTTCTGTGTTTAAAAGCTTCTGTGTGTAATATGGTCTGTGTGTAAAAGTGTCTGTGCGTAAAAGCGTCTGTGTGTAAAAGCGTCTGTGTGTAAAGGAGTCTGTGTGTAAAAGTATCTGTGTGTAAAAGCTCCTGTGTGTGAAAGTGTTTGTGTGTAAAGCTTCTGTTTGTAAAAGTTTCTGTGTGTAAAAGCTTCTGTGTGTAAAAGCTTCTGTGTGTAAAAGGGTCTGTGTGTAAAAAAAAGTGTCTGTGTGTATGTAAAAGCGTTGTGTGTAAAAGCGTCTGTGTGTAAAAGGAGTCTGTGTGTAAAAGCGTCTGTGTGTAAAAGCTTCTCTGTCTGTGTGTAAAAGCGTCTGTGTGTAAAAGCGTCTGTGTGTAAAAGCGTCTGTGTGTAAAAGGTGTGTTAAAGTTCTGTGTGTAAAAGCCTCTGTGTGTAAAGCGTCTGTGTGTAAAAGCTTCTCTGTGTAAAAGCTTCTGTGTGTAAAAGCGTCTGTGTGTAAAGGATCTGTGTGTAAAAGGGTCTGTCTGTGTGTAAAAAGCGTCTGTGTGTAAAGGAGTCTGTGTGTAAAAGCGTCTGTGTGTAAAGGAGTCTGTGTGTAAAAGCTTCTGTGTGTAAAAGCTTCTGTGTGTAAAAGCTTCTGTGTGTAAAAGTGTCTGTGTGTAAAAGTGTCTGTGTGTGAAATTGTCTGTGTGTAAAAGTGTCTGTGTGTAAAAGCGTCTGTGTGTAAAGGAGTCTGTGTGTAAAAACTTCTGTGTTTAAAAGCTTCTGTGTGTAAAAGTGTCTGTGTGTAAAATGGTCCGTGTGTAATAGCGTCTGTGTGTAAAAGGGTCTGTGTGTAAAGGAGTCTGTCTGTAAAAGTGTCTGTGTGTAAAAGCGTCTGTGTGTAAAGGAGTCTGTGTGTAAAAGCCTCTGTGTATAAAAGCTTCTGTGTGTAAAAGCTTCTGTGTTTAAAAGCTTCTGTGTGTAAAAGTGTCTGTGTGTAAAAGCGTCTGTGTGTAAAGGAGTCTGTGTGTACAAGCATCTGTGTGTAAAAGCTTCTGTGTGTAAAAGCTTCTGTGTTTAAAAGCTTCTGTGTGTAAAAGTGTCTGTGTGTAAAATGGTCTGTGTGTAAAAGTGTCTGTGTGTAAAAGCGTCTGTGTGTAAAGGAGTCTGTGTGTAAAAGCGTCTATGTGTAAAAGCGTCTGTGTGCAAAAGCCTCTGTGTGTAAAAGCTTCTGTGTGTAAAAGCTTCTGTGTTTAAAAGCTTCTGTGTGTAATATGGTCTGTGTGTAAAAGTGTCTGTGCGTAAAAGCGTCTGTGTGTAAAAGCGTCTGTGTGTAAAGGAGTCTGTGTGTAAAAGCCTCTGTGTGTAAAAGCTTCTGTGTGTAAAAGCTTCTGTGTTTAAAAGCTTCTGTGTGTAAAAGTGCCTGTGTGTAAAATGGTCTGTGTGTAATAGTGTCTGTGTGTAAAAGCGTCTGTGTGTAAAGGAGTCTGTGTGTAAAAGTGTCTGTGTGTAAAAGCGTCTGTGTGTAAAGGAGTCTGTGTGTAAAAGCGTCTGTGTGTGAAAGTTTCTGTGTGTAAAAGCGTCTCTGTATAGAAGCCTCGCGTTTCTTCACATCCGAGGAATGATGGTACCGAGCTTTTTCGGCAATGTGTGTAGGAATTACCATAGTAAAATGAGATAACACATGTCATTCGCAGCATCATGGTACCGAGCCTCCTGTGCAATTTTGTTGCTCACATTATATTGCTCCATGTTTTCTTTCTATCTCCCTTTCCTTCTCTCTCTCTCTCTCTCTCTATCTCTCTCTCACCCTCTCCCTCTTTCTCTCTCTCCGTCTCCCTCTCTCTCTCTCTATGTCTCTCTGTGGTTGCAAGACACGTGTCATCTGATGCCCTTTACCAAATATCCTCTTCTTAATCAATCTTACTTTTCACACCTTATCCCTCCATAGCTCATATATAATTCAGCAACCATTCACCGACTATCTTTTACGACTACTATCCTCAGAGCTGCTTGAAAAACATATTTTTCGCTCTCGGGCCAACCGTCGTCTAGTTCCGTATATGAATTTGTGTATCGCAGCTCTTTCCCCCTCAAGACGGTGCAAGTGCGACAAAACTGCTCAAAGAAGCATGAGTCGCGGGGGGGAACGCCCAACTGCCCGTGTGGCATGCACCGACTCACCACGCTGTCGCTTGAACTCCAGACGACGTGGGAGGACAAGTGGGTTCTTCATTTTCGAGAGGTTATCTACTTCTAATTGAAGCAATCGTAGCATTATATGATGAGGTGGCAGAAAGGTTTTTAAGAACTAGGTTGTGAAGTCAGTTCGATGCAATTCTGTTGCTTGACTTGGTGGATGTATATGTTTTGGTCATGTCCCTGCTCGAACGCAGGAGTACCAAGGGACGAAGTGGCGGGTCACTCCAGGTGGTCTGCCTGGAGTGTCACCAACAAAGGTGGCGACAGGACAGGGGCTTAAGTGTGTGGGCTGCTTTTGTCAACGATGGGAGCATTGATTGTGTTTTCGTGAATGAAGTATCAATTTGGAGAACATACGTACGGCTTTTCGTTACTATGATTTTAAATGATACCAGTCCATTGTCATTGAATCGGGGTTCCCGCTATTCTATTCTCTCCTGGTCCCACCTGGTTGATGCGGCCAGGATGGGCGGAACAAGAACCGTTGGTGCAAACCAAAGGGCCCCGCGGCCGTGACCCCTCCCCCGCACCAGGGGAGCAGGGTCATGCGCGCGGACGGTTCCTGGTTTCACCTAACCAGCCCTCCTCCCGAGGCTGGGAATTTAGCTTTGGTGCAAGATCATTTCTTTTTCTGCCTTGGATGTTGCGGACAGGTGGTGCCTTCCGCCACGCAGATCTTCTGCAGAAGAGGAGGAAGTTGCAGCGCCAGGCAGGTCAACAATTAAAAATTTGCTTGGTTGCGGCAATGAAAGCATGGTGTAGCGGACTTGGGGTTTTGAAAGGAGTTCTATTTGAAATTGTGTATTTTAGATGCGCTATTGGGTTCATTTGACTTGTTTGTTTCTGACTTGGTCATTTTTTATTGGTGGGTGGATTTAGGAAGAGACATGATGCAGCATGTGCATTAAAGGGAAAGCGTGCATATTTGCGACAGGCTGCTTCTTCTTCTTCCGCTCCGCAGCAGCCAGTGGCGGCTGCTCGGAAGCAGGCAAGTGGTGTGGCGCGGGGAGTAGGTCAGATTGTTTTCGCCGGAAGTTGGCCTTATTCTTTGGATTTAAAAAAGAAACTACGTGATTTGCAGATGTAATTTCTTGTTTGCAAAATGATTTGGGCAAGGTTGCGGAGTCAACGTGCATTTGTCTTGTCGGGTATCGAGTGGATTTACCAGAACAGAAGGGTATGGATAGAGGGGAGTGTTTGAGCAGTTATCTTCGAAAGTAAAAACTTTGTTGGCGGTTGAACGGTTTATTTGCATATGCCAGATAAAATGCCAGAAGGTATGCCAGATAGAATGCCAGATAAAATGCCAGATAGAATGCCAGAAGATATGCCAGATAGAATGCCAGAAGATATGCCAGAACATATGCCAGAAGATATGCCAGGTAGAATGCCAGAAGATATGCCAGATAGAATGCCAGAAGATATGTCAGATAGAATGCCAGAAGATTTGCCAGTAACAAATTGATAAATGTCATATCACACGAAGTAAAGTATTTTGGAGTTGTTTTTTGGGGTCTAAACACCTGCTCAGATGGTATTTGGAGTACTAGGGCATATTTGAAAATGGTGTTTTTGTTTCCGCTATGTTAAATTACACCAGAGGATACCCCATGATTTGCGGCACTTCAGGTCGCTGATAGTGATGCCACTGCCACCGCCTTACTGGCAGCCTTGAGAAATGAACCGCGGGGAAGCCGAGGTGGCGGAAGGTCGATGGACGGTCGATGGACCAAGGATTGTGTAGGCTCCAAAAGGACAGAAAAATGAAATCCGAATCTGAAATGATCAGTGAGTTCATGTAAGTTTTATATCTTTTTGGATTTTTTGGGGGCCCAAAGAAATCATCAAAATTCCATCAAAATTTAATGGGGCCCCATCAGCAAAATGGGTGGTCTAAGCAACAGAAATAGCAACAGAATGGAGATTTCAACACCTTCATCGCAGGTCGTGCCCCTCCGATAAGGTTTGGGTTTCTTGAGGGTTGGAACCATGAAGCTAATCTGGTTGGTGGTTTCAAACATTTTTTATTTTCCATAATATATGGGATAATCCTTCCCATTGACCAATATTTTTCAGGATGGTTAAAACCACCAACAAGTAATAGTACGGGGTCGTAGGCCACACACAAAATTGGCACTCAATGTGCTAGGAAGAATAGTGACTAGGAATTGTGGGTCCAAGGATCTTTGATTTCATGAAAAAAGTTGTAGTTTGAAGCAAAATCCTTTTAAACTAGGTCTGAAATTGAGGTATACTCCCAATACAAACGGATTTTTGGTGGGTTTCCCTTCAAATCGCCGTAAATTCCCATTCTCAGACATACACTGGTCCTGCCGAGGATCTACACAAGGAAACATAGGTCGGATGAAGATTATAAGCTGATCAGGTGTCGTGAAGTTTGAGGCACCGAACAAATCCCGAGAAACCGACGTCACATTGTCTTGGTGGATTTGTGACGGAGACTTAGAGGTCTTAGAGTTGCTAGATACAGTATATAATGTATATATACTTTGACACGTATATGTGTGCCTTCAATATATATATATGTGTGTGTTTTTGGTTCTTGATGTTATTTTAGTCTCTTACTTGTAGTTGCTGATCTCTCCCTTCTTACTTTCTTTCAAGATTTCTTGCTGTATCTTGTGAATTTATGATTATATATCCACCTGTCCCCCACTCATAACTTGCTTTTGTCCGGTTTGATATTCCCAGCGTTGTTGTCAGTCGTATCCCCATTTCTTTGTTGCTAAAACCAACTTCATATTCACATGTGTCATATCCATACTGCTGCTGGTAAAACCGTTCTGTTCTTGTAAATTCCTCAATTTGTTTCTGGGTACATAATGGTATATATAAATCCCCGTTAAATACCAGTTTTTTGTGTGAACGCAACATTTTGTTCCTTACATCGTTGGGATTTGCGACGTCTTTCATTGTTTTCAGCTTCCATGTTGTTCACTTAAATCCTCCGGACATACTGTGGATGGTTGCAAAATCCTGCGCCACGGATGGTTGAAACATGTTGAAACCCTATCACTACTGGTTGGTGGTTTGGAACATGTTTTTTTCCATATATCGGGAAGAAAAATCCCAACTGACTTTCACATTTTCAGAGGGTTGAAACCACCAACCAGATGAAATAATGGCATGTTTACCACCTACCCTCTGGTAAAAAAACATAGCTATTGAAAATTTAAAAATGGCCATAGAAATAGTGGATTTTCCAATTAAAACTTGTGATTTTCCATAGCAAACTGTTAGTTAACCAGAGGGTACCAAATCCTATCAGCTGCAGGGTTTGCTTCCATCCACAGCTTATCTTCCTGGTTCCTTCAGGTCGACCATGGCGCATCTTTCTGCTGCCCTGCAACGTTTAGCGACCTTGGACGACCAGTTGCAGCAGCAACGCGCAGCCCTTGGGGCACGGGGCAGGCGACGATGGGCCAAGGTGAAGGTGAAGATACCAGGATTACTGGATAGTTCATGATTCTGTAATTCTAACATGTTCTTATATAGATGAACATCCTGTGAAATAAAGTTGGACCGGCCCATCCATATTTATCCGACAAAATTATTAGCATTTGAAAGTAGTAGAGAGCTGCCTTGAACTTTGCTTGCCTTCATGAAACCTTCACAACCGATAGGGGACGACCCAACACCGATACCCTAGATTCCACCACGTTCCCACAATAATCTGCAGTAGCGTGCTTTTCTTCTACAGCAACGGTTACAAACAGGGCTATAAACAGCTACCCTCAGTTCGCTTTCTCTTGGAGAGCACGAAATATATTGTTTGCGGCAATTCACGCACCATTCTCACCGATACCCCAACCGATACCAACCGATACCCATTTTTGCAATTATTCTCACTTGCCGAGACCATCTCCCACTTACTACTCTTGCTGCTACCGCTTCTCTTACTACTCCTACTACTACTCCTACTACTATTACTACTATTACTCGTACTACTCCTACTCCTCCTACTACTACTACTACTTCTACTACTACTACTACTACTACTCCTACTACTCCTACTACTACTACTGCTACTACTACTACTACTTCTACTACTACTCCTACTTCTACTCCTACTTCTACTTCTACTCCTGCTGCTACTACTACTACTAATACTAATATCACTACTGCTGCTGCTGCTGCTACTAATGCTACTGCTACTACTGCTACTACCCTTACTGCTACTACTACTACTACCACTACTGCTTTTACTTCTTCTTCTACTTCTATTGTTACTTCTACTTGTATTAGTGCAACGAGCAGCATTTTCTACCGGATGGTATCACAGAGCCAAAATCTTCACAACGGATAGGGGACGACCCAGTTTTGCCCGTGGCAATTACAGGGAACAAATATATAATTTTGTCCGCCACTGATAAAAATATGGCATACCCTCTGGTAATCTAACAATATGGCAAAGCACCTTCTTTTAATAGGACAATCACCAGAAATGGATCATGTTCCATGGCAAACTCTTATAAATTCCAATTTTTTCTACCAGGCTACCGTCATCCGCATCATCGATCTCGGAGTCCTACCAACGTCCCACACGAGGCGGAGGAACGGAGGCCTTGAAGACGCGATGTTGACCCAGTTCCTCCAGGAGAAAAGCGAAGCGCTGTCCCTGCTGAAGGTGGGTCCAGTGGGTCCCGGGGGGTCGCTATCTTTGATGTCGTTGGGGGATGGGACATATCAAATATATTCTAATAATAATATTATCTAATGGATACAGTCATGGTCATGGGCATATCACTATATATATATGATGTTAAATGTTCCATATCATGTCCCATCACTGGATAGCGATCATGGAAGAGTCGACAAGATTGGTCCTTCGGAGATGGGAAAACTATGGAAAACTCATTGGATTGTGGGATGGTCGCGAAGTCTTTTTCGGTCCTTTCGGATTTCCCGAATGGACCTGGACTGGGCCTCAAACATAGATAGAACTCGGGGTTGGAATGGTTGGAATCTCTTCAATGGATGGATGTCAGGAGTTTAAACCTGAAAAATACGAGGCTGCTGATATCATTCCGAGATCAATACCGTGAACACCAATGCATGGATCATTTAAGAATGATGTTTGTTGTCGGAAACAGTTGAGGAAGTGACCCTGGAAATGCGAAATCGGTCGGTTGAAATCATTGTAGAAAAGTTTTCTTCTGTGAAGGAATAGTAAACTATGATGGTCTATTCCAGCCTGGCACTACCATACGCAGGTTATTTATCAGAGCAATGACATGCAATGAAAATCACCAGCGAAGCCAGTGATATAATAATAGTTACCATTAAGAATCCATTCAGAATTCATTTCTTCATTTCCTATCACATCTATCACCAAAAATAAAGATGAAAACACTGCAGCATCGGATGCCGCGGTTTCAGCCGAGGACACGGCCAAAGACTTGCTGGATGAAGACTCCAGTAGCCAGGTGTTTGTGGGATCTTTTTTCGAATTTCCCATGTGGATCCTTGAGCAACGCAGATGCCTCAAACTTCTCAGAAATTCAGGTCAGCAGATTTGCAGTTCAAGGGGTTGCTACTAAAAAATCAGCTGTGTCGGTTCAGTCTGGTTCTTTCCTGCCCCTTAACGCAAAATATTTAGTATTTATACAATGGATTTTGCGTATGGATTTATTATAACTCAATCATGTTTTATGTATTATACCGAATTATATCCTGAAAGTCAATTGGCTCAATTTACCCACAGTATGGAAAATCTGCAAACCCAATGAACCCAAGTCACATCATCCATGAGTCACCAGGACTTTCTGGGCGCATCTCATCCATTTTCATCCCCCATGGCATGGGGCTTGGCACATCTGGGCACAGTGGCAGGTCTACGACGCATGGCAGTCTCAACTGAATTCGGCCTTGGAGCATGTCGTTGCCACCAGCATCACTGGGACTGCTGATGACGATGGCTCACCAACGCAGAGGTGAGATGGCACGTCCATTGGGTAATAGTGGGTATAAACATGGTATAAACACATCGTAAAAACATGATAAAACTATAAACATGTATCATGTATCTGTATAAACATAGTATAACCACTGTTTAAACTTGGTATAAGCATGACATAAACATGGTATACTGTAAACATGCTGATAATCATGGTGCAAGCATGGTATCAACATGGTACAAACACGGTATAAGCATGGTATATTCATGGTATAAACACTGTATGAACATGGTATAATCATCGTATAATCATGGTAGAATCATGAAGTATAAATATAGTATAAACATCGCATAAAACCTGGTATAAACATGGTATATACAGCATAGACGTGGTGTAAACAGGATATAAACGGCATGTGAATGGGGAATTAATCAATAGCGAGGATATTATTCCTTTTGACGTGGTGAATTGGAATGGGATTCTATCAATGGCTAGAGGGAAACTGAGGAACAATAGCGAACAAACATGGGGTATGTAAACCAGTTCATCGGAATATCATGCGGAAGAATGGCTGACTAACTTGCAAAAAATGATAGTTTGGGGCATTTCAGGTCTAATCCATTAGAGTAACTATCCCAAAACAATCCCAACCAACCCGGCCAGCTTGGTACTTTAATTTAACCATTTGCAACAATATATGTGAGCATGTTTCTAGACCCATGCATAAAATATATGTGTTTACCATTGTTTCGGAATCGTTTCACACAACTACTGCCCCGCACTGAGCGAAGTTGGTTTACAACCAATACAAGGGTTATATACACATAGTTAATGGATGTTAATGGTAGATTGTTGTATAGTTAATGGGGTTTATAAACCAGCAAATATAACAGTGGGCACCACTTGTATAGAAACCAGATGAAACCAGTTATATAATTAGTAAACCCATTGTAAACCCCATTAAATCCTAATCAATGTTATTAAATCCTAACAGTAGTACCGCACAAGGCGGTAGCGGAAGTTTCAAGGATAGGACACTATAGGAGAGGTGAGTAGTTGGAGTTGTGCTTTTTGGAGTGGTTGCAATGGTTGCAGTGGTCACCTCACTCACAACTCCTGGATGTAGTGTGGTGTAGTGCAGTAGTTGTAGTTGTAGTGGGGTTGATGTTGTTGAAATTGTAATGTTGTAGTAGTTGTGGTTGTTGTTGTAGTCGTAGTTGTGGTGTAGTTGATGTGTAGTTGAAGTTGTAACTGTCTTAATTGTTGTAACTGGAGTAGTTTCAATAGTTGTAGGAGTTGTAGTTGCAGTTGTAACTGTAATAGTTGTAGTGCAGTTGTAGTTGTAGTGTCGTTGTAGTTGTAGTTGTGGTTGCAGTTGGAGTTGCAGTTGTAGTTGTAGCGCAGTGCCGTGGCAATTGTTCTAGTAGTAGTGCAGTTGAAGTTGAAGCTGTAATTGAAGTATAGTTGTAGTGTAGCTGAAATTATAGGTGTAGTTGTAGCCGTATCTGCAGTTGCAGTTGTAGTGTACTTGTAGTAGTTGTTGCAGTTGTAGTTGTAGTTGCAGTGTTGCAGTTGTAGTTGTAGTGGCACTTGTAATTGTAGTTGTAGCTGTAGTAGTTGTAGCAGAGGTTGTAGTTGTAGTTGAAGTTGTAATTGTGGTTGTAGCTGTAGTTCTTGTAGTTGAAGTGTAGTTGTAGTTGTTTGTTTGTTTGTCATTTTATCTATGTATTTGTTTGTTTATCTATCTATCTGTCTATCTATCTATCTATCTATCTATCGATCTATCTATCTATCTATCTATCTGTCTGTCTATTTGCCTATCTGTCTTTCTATCTATCTATCTACCTATCTATCTATTTATCTATCTACATATCTGTCTATCTAGCTGTCTATCCATCCATCTATCTATCTAGCTATCTATCTATCTAGCTATCTATCTATCTATCTATCTATCTATCTATCTATCTCATCTGTCTAGCTAACTTTGTATCTATCTATCTACCTATCTACCTATCTATCTATCTCTGTCTGTCTGTCTATCTACCTATATATCTGCAAGCTTGAACTTGACAACATCAAAAACGGAACAAGTCTGCGAGACTCCCTCAATTTTTGAACTTGACAACGTCAAAAGCGGAACAAGTCTGCGAGACTTCTCAGTTTTTGAGCTTAATAACATCAAAAACGAAACAATTCTGCGAGACTTTCTTCAAAAATTGAAAGTTGAGTGCAGAGCTGACGGCCTCGTACCAATGCGTTTTGCGATTTTTCGTCTAAAGTACTGCGCCTGCCACAAAAAAAGTGATGCCAGGTTATACGAAGTGCTGTACCTGTCACACAAAATCATCTTCCCAAAACTGAAGATCTGATGCTCCAAAATGCAACCCCTCTCAGAAAATCAGCGCCCGGACCTCCTGACATCTCCTGACATCTCTGCTCTTCAAATGTCCCACGCCTGCCATCCTTTTTGGAAATGCATGGAAATGCTACAAAGCCCTCACGTTTTATTTTTCTCACGTTTGACAAGGTGCACAATCCCTTGCGCCTGCCACGCGAAACGACATCTGAACGTCCAAAAGTGGTCCGAACATGTGGTGTTTTTAAACATTTTGACTTCGAAATGTGCTTCGCGCCACAAGGGCGTGAACTTTTTCGACATGTCAACTTCAAAAAGTGCTCCGAGTCCGTCAGTATTTAACACTTTTGACTTTGAAATGTGCTTTGCGCCACAATGGCGTACACTTTTTCGACATCTCAACTTCCAAAAGTGGTCTGTGAATGGTGTGGTTTTTACATTTTGATTTCGAAATACGCTACAACGGCTTGCACTTTTTCGACATCTCAACTTCCAAAAGTGTTGCGAACGTGAGGACTTCTAAACTTCCTTCGGTAAAATCCCGGCTTTTCCCATCAATTCCCGTGAGTGCCATTCAGCAGTGCCGGAGATCACCCCAGGATCCCTGGAAGTCCCAGCAGCAGCCCAACAGCTGCCATGGAGGAAGCGCGTCGACGTTACTGTCCCAACATAGGGGGGAAATGGAAAACACATAATATGGAGGTTTCCTGAAATGGGGGATCCCCAAAACGGATGGTTTATAAGGGAAATCCGGTGAAAATTGATGATTCCCATATATATTTGTATATTTATATAATATACATATACCCGCTGGTAAACTAACAGTTTGCCCCAGAAAATGGCGATAGAAATAGTTGATTTACTTTTGAAACATGGTGATTTTCCATAGCGAACTGTTAGTTTACCAGAAGGTATATAGAAAACATAAACTGCTGACTATCAATCTGAAGAAGAGCTATAATATTAATGTATCATTCATCATACTTGGTACCCTGTGTTGAGACAAACTCACATGTTATATCTACTAGAGTGAAGATTTATATACATATATGAGAAATATCATTTAACAAAAATAGAAAACTATACATGTCAATATACAATATTAGGGTGGTTACATCCATAAATCGGCTTCATCCGTCCTGGCAGCCTACTAGCCGTTCCAACTTGGATGTGCGGGCCCCACTTAGTAAGTGGTGTACATCACATCATATCCCATATATATATATATAAGCCATATAATCCGATATTGACAAGTGGGGATATTCATGGATATTCCATATAAAGCTGTGGCTATATCCGATTATTCCTAAGTGGCGCCCGCACCGCCAAGTACCCAAATCCTGAACACAAGGTGGGATCACAAAACCCAGGTGTTTACTGGTTGCCTTTTCAAGTAATGGAGCAAAATTAACATGCATAATTTCCCAGGTGATGGTGGTTTCATAAAACCCAAGTTGGATGGTACTGTGGTAAATGCCATGTAAATGCCATGTAAATGCCATAAACCATATGTATATATATATATATAATCAACCATGGCTGGGGGTCTTTTTACATCATCCAAAAGTCACGGAGGTATATTTATTATTAGTGGTTTTACCACATTTGATTTTCATCCATAACCACCTGGTAGCAGCCTTGGGCGCAGCCTTGCGGCGCATCCCAGTCACATAACCTGCAATCGCATGTAAGCCACATGTCATCCAGAAAATATGTTTTTCCATATTGTAATCATATATGCAATCCTTTCTCAACCCATATAAAACTATTGTATACTGGTAAGTGATATGTTTATTGTAGTACTGGGACGCGCATCTGGCAGTCACCACTCCCTCGATGAGGTTTGGCAGCACTGGAAGCTGCGCGAGCTGCGCGACATAGACGGCCCAGGTTAAAGGCTGGATGGTCGGATCAATGGTGGAATTAAACTGCCTCAACGATAGTTTGACTCAAATTACTTGGTGAATTCTATGGTTTATGGGGGATACGACTTTTATTAAAGGCGATTGATCAAAGGAAGTTTAGCAGTCTAAACGCCGTTTTACAAATTTCCAAAATGTGGAGACCGTACAGAAGAGTTAGTTAGTTAGGCAGTTAGTTAGTTAGTTAGTTTGTTGGTTAGTTCGTTAGTTAGTTAGTTTGTTGGTTAGTTCGTTAGTTAGTTAGTTAGTCAGTTAGTTAGTTAGTTAGGTAGTTAGTTAGTTAGTTAATTAGTTAGTGATTTAGTTCGTTAGTTACTTAGTTAGTTAGATAGTTAGTTAGTTAGTTAGTTAATTAGTTAGCCAGGTAGTGAGTTAGTGAGTTAGTTAGTTAGTTTGTTTGTTTGTTTACTTAGTTGGTTGGTTAGTTAGTTAGTTAGTTAGTTTGTTAGTTAGGTAGTTAGTTAGTTAGTCTGTTAGTTAGTTAGTTAGTTAGTTAGTTAGTTAGTTAGTTAGTTAGTTAGTTAGTTAGTTAGTTAGTTAGTTAGTTAGTTAGTTGGTTAGTTGGTTAGTTGGTTAGTTGGTTAGTTAGTTAGTTAGTTGGTTAGTTGGTTAGTTGGTTAGTTGGTTAGTTGGTTAGTTAGTTAGTTAGTTAGTTAGTTAGTTAGTTAGTTAGGTAGTTAGGTAGTTAGGTAGTTAGGTAGTTAGGTAGTTAGGTAGTTAGGTAGTTAGGTAGTTAGGTAGTTAGGTAGTTAGGTAGTTAGGTAGTTAGGTAGTTAGGTAGTTAGGTAGTTAGGTAGTTAGGTAGTTAGGTAATTAGGTAGTTAGGTAGTTAGGTAGTTAGGTAGGTAGGTAGGTAGGTAGGTATTTAGTTAGTTAATTAGTTAATTAGTTAATTAGTTAGCCAGGTAGTTAGTTAATTAGTTATTCAGGTAGTAGTAGTGGTGGTGGTAGTAGTAGTAGTAGTAGCAGTAGTAGTAGTAGTAGTCGTCGTCGTAGTAGTAGTAGGTAGTAGATTGTTGTGGATTGCCGCCTTGGTAGACGCAGTTGTATTGTGATTTGCAAAGCAGCGAGTGCAGATTGCAATGGAATTGCTGCGTCAAGGTGATGTTTGGACGTTAGGAATCGCACGAAAGCCTATGTTTTCTCGCACAAAGTGGCTCCCGGCGTCGATGGGGGGAACCTCGCTTGTGCGACGGGTGCGGCTCGCGCTCGGGCGCCTCCTCCATTGTAAAGTACGATTCAGGTGTGCAGATCGCATTGTAATGGCTGTTTCTTTACGGTGTTTGCAGCCTTGGTCGACAAAGTTCTATTATCATTTGCAAGGCAGTGATTGCAGATCGCATGGACTGTAATCAGAGCCTGGCAAGGTGGCATGGAATGTAATCAGAGCCTGGAACAGGTCATCTTGCCCGCCATTTTGCCAAGCAACCTCTGAAGATCAAGTTCTGGTGGGAGTGTCCATCAACCCCATGAACGAGTGAATGAAGAGCCTTGAACGAGTGACCTTGCCAATCAACTTGCAAAGTTGTACTTTTGACTTGGTTTTCCAACCAGGGCCTTGAACGAGTTACTAGTAGTTACCTGGCCAAGTAGCCTTTTTGCGTGTTATCACAGCTTTGCTACAATGAAGTTTCGAAAAAATCCGTGGAGGATGGGGAAGGACTAGCTGGGATATCTTTGGCAATTGCATCAACGAATCAGTCATACAAGTTACGAAGTGCATGGAAAAATGGAATTGCATATTTCATTATTTCACCATTTGTTTTTCGGATATTATTTTATATTATTTTTGCACTGGTGAGTAACCATACTTGTCAATCGAGTCAATCACTAAAATGTTGGATGATCCAGTTCAGGGGCTCGTAACTAAAGTTTTTAACTGATGAGGATTCGTGGGATGATAAGGCAGTAGTTGATTGTGTAGATTTGTTGTGGTTTAGTGGGGATCTACTTGCGGATGACTGACTGGACTGCGAGATAGCGCTGGTGCTTTCACAGCACGCGTCGTGTGTTTCGGTGGACCACTACCAGAACAACAGTTGTGCCGTGACGCAAAAGAAAGGCGGTGGTGCTACGTGTCCGGCGGCCAATAGACAGTGTCTCCCTCGTCATTTGCGTTTGCACTTACGACAACATCGACAGAGAAGTAAATGAAAAGATGGATAGCTAAATAAAAAAAATAGGTAGATCATGGCGACTGCATTTTGCAGACTGTGGAAGATGGCAAGAAATCCAGAATTAATTGCAAGTTGCAAACAAATGGCAAACAATTAGAATTTGATTTCTTCAATGGCACAGCATAGATGGATGGATGGATAGATTGATGGATGGATAGATTGATGGATGGATAGATGGATACTGTAGATAGATGGATGGATAGATAGATGGATAGATAGATAGATAGATAAGTATCTAAGTAGATAGAGACATAGATAGAGGAAATTAAAAGATTGATAGATAAACAATGATACGTGATTGATAGTAGCTGAAACAACGGATTGCTAGCAACAATAATATAGATATGTACTGTAGATGATAGTAGCTGCATTTGGAAGACGTTGGTTCGACGCGGTGGTCAACCACCATGAAGGACGGTAGGTCGACATGATGGACGCCTACCAACCAGGACGGTGGCTTGATTCGGTGGTCGGCCACCAACACAAGCATGGGAGGCACCGAGCAAACACAAGCGGAGGGTGCCACCGTGTGCAGAGGGGAGGGGCTGCACGGCTGCACACTGAAACACACACACAAACATACAAGAGAGCTCTCAAGACAGTAGAAAGGTGAAGGCAATAGAAATGTGATGAAAAGTAGATAGTTGAAGACAGTCGAGAAGAGAAGAGAGTAGGAAACAACAGGGGGCCAGCAGGGTGTATCAGGAACTGAAAAGAGTAGGGAACTGAAGGTAGCTCTCAACAAGAAAGACGCTGTCAGGATTCAAATATGACAAGCGCAAGCCAGACCAAAAGACAGTGCCAGACAAGGAAGTCAAGAGATTGAAATGTTCTGGAGGCAAAGGCGTCCAAACAAACAGAAAACAACAGGAAAGATTGTCAAGATTCCAACAGGAAAGATTGTCAATATTCAAAGATGTCGAGAATTCCGAACTCTGCCAACATTCAGACATGTCAGGAGCAAGCCAGTTCAAGATAAAGTGGCAGCATCAGACAAAGATGTCGACAGCAAGAAACGTCAAGGACAAACACTAGCAAGAGATCACGCAGTCGACCGCCATGCCAGCCAGGCGGTCAGGCGCCGTTCCTATAGGCTCTCCCTTGTCTTTATAGGTTCTTCCCTGTCTCGAAACTTCCGTCACCCGGCTTGCCCGGCTCTACTTGTAAACCAAGTCATAATTGGGGATGCCTTTCCGAATGGGACAATTGGGAAAATTGCCGAAACACATCCAAAATTTGGCTATAAATTGCGATTTCACTAACAAGATTGAGGGTATGAGGCAATTTCTTTGGATAGAATTAGAATGGATAAATAATGATTACAACCATATATCTGGATGATTCCAATTTGGTTGGTATAGAACTATGGTCATTTCATCTAGATATCATCCAGATATCCCTGTTTTTTGTCATGTCGTACTGATCACCAGGTCCTGGAGATGCAACTGGAACATTGGGACTTAGAAGTAGTGGCCCAACTTGTCGCGGCCCATGATTGTTGTTTCTAGATGTTTGTACCAGAAAAAAACAAACATCTAAAGAAATGAGTTATTCGAGGGTTAAGTGTAGGATGTAGATGTTGCATCTACAATGGTAAAACGGAGTACAAACTGAGAAAAAGGATAGAACCACGGGATGTAAGCCTGAGCCTGAGCGATGAGCGATGTTTTTTTTTTGTCTTGTGTGAACAGATAACCAAAGGATGGGTTCGCAGCAACCAATCCAAGACATGGTAGAAGATGACAGAAGTGCAACTAATTATAAACTAGTTTGGAAAAAGCGTTAAGCAGTCTTGGCTGGATCTACACATGACGCATCGCAGTTAATACATCATGATGTCAGATGTTCATTCGATCCAATGGCCGACCAAACTCACATGGGTGTTGCTCCTCTGTGTGTTTTTTTTTGCGATTGCCCAATCCAACAGTTCCGTAGGATTTCGGGAACACCACATTTTACAGATGGATGGTTTCAACATGTTCTTGTCATTTTTTTAACCATCAGTTTAACCATCAGTCTAACCATTTTTTAATCGCAAATCCATCAGTAGAATCCATGGTTAATAAACATATCGAGGGTTTATATAACCATCAGTTTAAACGCATGTTTTTTCTCGGCCCCACGTTTCCGGAGTTCGTAGGCCGGCTCGACCTTTGCTGAACATGATCCTTCCTGGTGGCGGCGTGGCAGATGGTTTTGGCAATGGGTTCGGATCCGCAAAATGTATCCCAAGATTCATTGAATTGCGGGCAAAATGTATATATATATATATATACAACAATTCAATTCAACTTAATTTTACATAACATACCATTATAAAATATTCAATTTTATTTTACATAACATAACATAGTCTAAAACAATACAATAAATAGTAATATGATATCATTTAATATAGTGTCATGTAATATAATATATGATATAATATGATATGTGATATAGTATAATAATTCAAACAAAATAGAAAAATGAGGAAAATATAATATGATTTAATGCAATATAATATGATTTAATTTAATATAGTATAATATAAGACAATATAATATATATATTATATTAATGTCAAAATTCACGAAATATGGATGTGGTGGGGGGGTTCGAACCTAAATGGTAACCACGAGCCCTTGCGCCAAGAGGGAACTCTGGGTCGCACTATTTTGGTCTTGGCAACAAAAATCATTTCTACACCATCTAACTGCTACTTCTGGACTACTACTTCTAGATTAGATTTTCTAAATGTTCTAGATTCTAGGGATGTTGTAGACGTTCTAGGTTTTCAAAGGTGGTTCAACAAAGTTGTAAGCCCGTAAATGTAATCCACAGAATCCGACCATTGCCTTCATGACTTCAGACATCCTACCTTAGCCTGAAGTTGGAAATAGGCGCTGTATGGGTATGTGTTTTTATTTAAGACCTGGGAATGATCGTTGTTAATATTGAACATCCAATTCTAGAGGTGTTTGATTTTGACCTGGCACTTAATATAATGTTATCTTTGTTAGGAGGCTTTTGTATCACATACTGAATATAGACAGATATCTTCCTGGACTGTTATATCCTCTGGATTTATTAATCATGATTATTCATTAATCATCGTTATTGATCAATGTTCAACTATTGTGTGGTCGCCATATCAAATTGCGGAATCATCAGATGCGTGGCCCACGCTAAGATTCAACGGATGACGGATCGGAAGAAGACGCCCAGCATCCATTCTCAATCAGCCCAGTATTCGAAGAAACTCTACGAGGTGGTGTCACATAGTTTTGGTTGCTTTATAACCCCGCTTTTCCATTGATATCTATAGAATTCTATACATATGTATAGATAAATCTCCCATAAACATCCATAAACCTTATTAAGTCCCATTGAGGAGTAGAAAAAATCTTGGCGGCATAATCCACCAAGGCAACAGCTTTCCGAGGAGGCCAAGCGGCGAGTTCTCTGATCAACCACCATGGTACAGTATATCTTTCAATATAGTCATGATATAGAAAAAATGAAGGAACATGATGAGGCCCCCGAGTGATGTTTGTTGGTTAACAAAAGCCCCAGTAACTATAGTTATAAAATGCTATAAATACCATAAACCATAGTTATTATGTTTTTGGAGTTTTTTGAACCAACTTGGCTATCGACTGGGGGCCTCACATTGTAGCATTAACTGGTTCTGTCCAGCAGGAGGATGCTCAATTGGTTTTGCAATCGATTGAAATGGGCCCCATTGGCACATTGGACTGAAATTTGCAGGGCGGACTTGGCCGATCGCCGGCCATGGGACATGTTCGATGTACATCTATCCAATCTGGGGAATATGGAGCTTTAAACTTTAATCCATACGCGTACCCCGGGTACCCCTCTGAAAGTTGAGATGGTCAACGGTTGTTAAACCACTCAAGGTAAATAAGTATAAGCAATCAAATGAAGACAGAAGGGTAGCGTGGTGCGTCTGAGTAGCAAGGCCTCAAATGATTGTAACAGTCCCACATGCTGTATACGAGGAATAGTTACTACCATGTAACGCCAGAATCAACCAAAAGGAGGTAAGTATGCCATACTTGTAGCATCTAGGTGTACAAGGGTGTACAAACATTGTTGCTAACTTGAGTTTGTCTTAAATTTGGGTAATTACCCATAAAATCCAGGAGATACTCTAAGTAATAACAATGTTTCACCATAATTAACCATAACTACCCACTATGATTCACTACAATTAACCATTATTAACCACTATTCTTAACATAAAAAACTAACCATTATTAACCAATGTTAACAATTATTACCGAGTATTAACCACTATTAACCACAATTAACCATTCTAAAACCATTATTAACCACCATTGACTACTATTTACCACTATTAACCATTTATAACCTATTAGTCACGATTGGCCACTGTTTACCACTATTCACCATTCATAGCCACTATTAACCACTATTAACCATGATTGACCACTATTTACCACTATTCACCATTCATAGCCACTATTAACCACTATTAACCACGATTGACCACTACTTACCACTATTCACCATTCATAGCCATTATTAACCACTATTAACCACGATTGACCACTATTTACCACTATTAACCATTCACAACTCATAATCACTACTAACCGTGATGAAAACCAAGCAGTAACGAAAGTTCCAGAAACACCAGGAGCAGACGGGAGACGCTCGAATCCATCGACAAAGCGTGCAGGTGCGGAGACTGCGGACGATCAGAGGGGACGATTAGAGGGGACGATGAAACAAACCGATACAATGATCGAAATTGCTGCAAGTAATTCTTTTAAATATACGTGTTTATACATTTGATAGTTAATTATGTATATAAAGGTTTTTGATGTAAAAAACTAACAGTTGATAATTAACCATATACTGTAGATGGTTAATGATATGATGTGTGAGTGGCATGATTGATGATATATATATATATACATACATATATATACATATGATTATCAACCCAATGATTATCATAGTATCCTCCAATATACATGATATAGACAATATGTATATTCATCATATATTTATCATATGTTATCATATTTGATTTTAGAGCTTATCCAATATATTGATGTGCATCTTGGTCGTGATAATCTTCTCAAATAGTCAACAACAGTGATATATATATATATAACTTATGCAACTATATATATATTTAAAGGGAACTACAATAAACTACTTGGGTTGGATCATTCGGCATGAAGCTAATCGCTGACCTTGCAACGAGGTCTGATACAGCAAGCCAATTCATAAGATGGGTTTGCTTCCGGTTGGTGAAGTACTGTTGTTATTGGCATTATTAGCAAATAAGATCATTCTATACTGTCATTGGATTGAATTACATTAATTCGAATCTTTGGAATATTACCCTCTGGTAAATTAACATAGACCCTGAACATAGCCTAGTTTTAATGGAAACTAATTTTCTAACCCCGATGACTGCCAGGGTCTATGTTTCGCATCTTTGGAATATGATTTTGCCACTGTTACGCATACTGATTGGACTGATTGGCCCATATGATTGGATTTAAGATGACCTGGCGCAATCAGTATGCGATTTGCCGATCCAACCTTTAGAGATCCTGGGATTCGCCCCATTCCATAAACCATCCCCAATAACTATATGAACCTTAAAGGTCATACCCAAGATATATCACTATTAATCACTATTAGTTTATTGTAGTTTCCCAAGATATCTGAGATTATAGTTTCTTAAACATCCTACATAGCTGCTTGTTTATGCTATTGGGTTGCCCCTGATGCGATTGGTTTTATTGATTTCCTCATGTTCTGGCGATCTGGTCAGAGTCTGAGAGTCATCACAGTTGATTGATCCAGTGGAGTCAATCTGGCGATCTGCACGGTGTTTGACCACAAAAGCCCATTTTTGGCTCAATCATGGGTCACATCACATCATTCTTTGGTCACATGGCAGTCAAAACCCTGGGACCCTATCCACAGTCATAGCTGGTATGATGCTCGATGTTTATTCCCCTGTCATATGGAGATTTCCTAAATTTCAGATTGGGATTTTCCATGAAAACCAACCAGGGAGCGACTGGGGTACCCCCATGGATTGAAACCCCAGTCATATGGTATCACACAAGGTGGTGCCCCCCAAAACGTCATGTTTATTGGTTTATAAACCCCATTAACTAGTTCGATATATCACCCATAAACCCTCTATAGTTAATGGGGTTTATAGGTGATTATAATAGATATATCACCTATTAGATAGTTATTAGTGGTTAATGGTTCATAAGTTCATAACCTATAAATTGGTTTAATAATTACCCTCTGGTAATTTAACATAGCTATTGCACATGACCATAGAAATAGTGGATTTACCCATTGAAAATGGTGGATTTTTCCATCACCACCAATTGTGACCCAACCCCAGATCCACAGTCTTGGGGACCCCAGGAGCGGCTTCGACGGCACCATGAGATCTTGCAGCAGTGGCGACGCGAAATGGACTGCTCCGCCGAGCAGGTGGAGCCGGAAAAATGATGAACAAAGAATGGAAACTAATGGAAGAAACATGGAACATGGAAAAATGATGCAATTTTGGAAGATGATGGAAACACGAAGGAAACATCATGGAAACATGAGGGTGTCAACTGTCGACCTTTCTTAAGCCATGACAATTTCATCGGATATAATGGGATTATTTACCATATATAAATAAATCAATATTTATATATATATATGTTACAAATCATTATGGTTTCACTAGCCAACATTGGGTTTCAAATCACTAACTTAGGTGATAACACACCAGGGGAGCTTGGGATTTAACCAATAGGATCATTTGGGCTTCGGTTTCAACCAGCCAATTTTTCGTTGGTTTCAGCCAGCAATATTTGGATGTAACATACAAAACTGAATGTTGAAGCCTTAAGCCTTAAGCTAGACAGGTTTGCTTGGGGGTGAACATACAAACCAAAAGCGAGGACCACGTGAAAAAGGCGTTCGCCATCCCAAAATCAACATTCCTTCCAACAAATCATGATATAGCTCATAAACATATTAATGTTGTATCATGTGTTCTCATTTAATCAGTGATACTCAGTGAACATATATTGTACACTTAACTTCCCCCAAGTTCTGGGGTACTTAGGATATCAAAAATCCATGTGGCCATATCTCTCTAATTTATCACTACTGGGTACTTCTAAGTCATGTGTCTTTTCTCATGCCAGTGCTTGGGTAAAAAATCTGAATTATCTACTTAAACAAAAGTATTGTAATGAATTACTTACAAGATCTTACAAGTATATATTTCTTCTGAAAGTAGGGCACCCCAAAATTTGATGTTTAATGATTGTATGTCCAATCATGTGATGTCTTTTTGCTTGGTATACCCTATTTTAAATGAGACGTCGATCAGTAGTGAAACTGTTTATTCATCATGGGCGTGGTATAACATGTATTAAAAAAAATATGTTCCATTGGTATACACCAGACACATCCATTAAATCAACTGCTAATTGGTCTGCACCCAGCGGATTGCCATTGCGTCAGGATCTTCCTTTGCTCGCAGCAAAGCTAGCTATGCATGACAGTTCCTGAGCTTGAGGTCGACTTGCGGTCAAGGGTACAATGTGCACTTATTCTATATATTTAAGATGTTTTTTTTTATGATTGTACAGTATATGAGTTGTATAGTTATAGGTTTATATAATGTTTTATGTTCAGAGGTATTTCCGGTATTTCTGAGTAAATTCCGAGTCAGAAACTATCGAGTCCAATCAGCATCACAGAGCAGCGTCCGGAATCAACATCCAAAGGTTCGGATCAGCGTCGCAGAATCAGCGTCAAAGACGATCCTGCATCAACATCGTGGATAAATAGTCGACGTCGGGACTGTTGGGATGGTCAGGACGATCAGGGTCGTCCGCAAGGTTGCGATCTATACCGTCCCAATGCAACCAACGTAGATTCCGATCCAGCCGCGCCGATCCGACCCATCCAGATTCCGACCCAACGACCCCGATCCAACCAACACCCAGGTATTTGCAGGTATTTCCAAGTAAATCAAGAATTACCTAGAGATACTCCAACAGAAAGATCTTAGGGGATGGGATGAGCCAAATATAGTTATGTAATGTTACGTACTTGCAGGCAGCTCTTAAACTTGGCAATATGTAGATTCATATATAGAGCTGTAGAGGTCTTCAAAAAGATAGAACCGTTGTTTTTATTTTTGCAATGATGTTGTAGATGGTCTATAGATAAGAATCTGGATGTTGCTGAGTGGCCCTTGGTTGGTGTTCCAAGACTCACACCCAATATGTTACTTATTGCTGTGTATATTGATACATGAAAGCATTACTCAACTTAAGAACCCCACAATTTTTCGTGCGGCTTCAATCGGCCTGAGTTGAGCGCGGCTCAAGAAACATCCAGACACCTGGACGTTTGGACATCGGTCAACATCAAAGACCTTAACCATCCCTTTCTTTAGGCACAAAAAAATGATCCATGCCCAATTGGCAAAGGCACTGTGACAGTCGTGACATAGTAACATTGTGATATGCAAATAGTGTTTGCTCAAGAATGAATACATCGCTGATCAGGGTGGAAATCAGATCAACAAGAAAACCGTCGAGAAACACATACTATCACGATTGATGATGGAAAGTGAGTACCAGTGACGTGCAGGTACTAAATAGTTTGAACAGTTGATAGTCTAAGTGACAGGTTTTTCGTCACAGCCAGCCTATTTGGCTGTGAACCCAAATTCCATGGCACCATTATTTAAAGCTACCGCCAGAAATGTTTCCTGAAATTTGTTTGGACCTATCACAACAAAGCAGTGTGTTTGCTTCAAGAACAGCAACGGAGTTCTAGCTACAGTTTTGGCATATTTGTCAAATTGATTACGTATCCAAGTTGATCTCCATCATTGCTCTCAACAATTCATAGCAACCTCATTGCTGACCGAACCCTGCACACCCTCATTTTGATTTGGGGGACACCACGAATTTGATGAACAAAAAAAATTGTTCTGGAATAGTGAATTCATCGAAACTTGCGCTGCAATGATGGGCACCACGGCCATTGGCCACGACATATTTTCAAGGAGTTGCCACTACCCATTATATCCAACTACTGGGATTCACTGGGACAAACCACTCGGTGTATTAGCAGCTGCTCACTGGCAAGGTCCAGGGACTGCAAACTCTGATGTTTTTTTTTGTAAAGGCCAACACCTTTTTTTTTGCTGCATGATCATCATTGTTGCACATAAACAGTGCCATAAAATTGGGCATCCCCCATTTTGGAGGCAAACCCGTATATCATAATTATTTTTGATGACGTATCCCAGTATATATATATATAAATATAAACAAATAAATATATAAATTTATATTTATATACACATATCTCCTCGTTATGGATAGTTTTATTCCCTGATTTTGTTGCTTAAATCTTTCATTTCTGGCCCGGGACCGGTTGTCACTGAGGTGCGCTGACCAAGATGTTGGAAAACGGAGCTTTGCTCGAGGTAGCCAGCGACTGATAGCGGGTCTATCCCAGGATACGGACTATATGGTTGAAACCTCATGAAACCTATAGTTGATGTGGTAAACCTAATGAGGAGATTATGTGCGAGCTCTCAACATGTTTCAATTAGAAGCAGCAAATAAAGTTGACCATTTTAAGTTGATCCGTTAAGTACCTTGATGGCGGATTTTCAGCTATGTAAATTTTGACTTTCCATGGCACTTTCCATGGCATTTTCCGGAACAGGTGGATGAAGAGCTGGATGACTTGCTGAGGGCCTGCAGAGACACTGCGCAGATTTTATCGCTCGAAATCCTGGAGGCCGCCTGGGGGTTTCAATAAGTGAGGGATCCCCAAAAATGGTTGGTTTATAATGGAAAATCGTATAACAATTGGATGATTTTGGGGTACCTCCATTTCAGGAAACCATATATGTCTATGGTCAAAATCTTGGTTTCCTGGATTATAATAGCTGGTTAGTGGATGCTTATTCCCCAAAATATGGTAGTTTCATATGATTTCATAGGTTTTGACCTTGGCCCAATGACTATATATTCGGATCATATGATTTCATAGGTTTTGACCTTGGCCCAATGATACTATATATGAGGATATAGTAATTGATTGGATATGCAAAACATGGAATATCATGTCAGATGTCACTAAGAATGAGATATTGGGTTTGATTTACCCTCCAGGAAATTACTACAGTAAATTAATGATATGTACAGTAGATATGGAAAACCCATGGTTGCCCTAATTCTTTTGGTCATACAGTAGATTGAACATGTCATGTTTGACCCATCGATCTTCCAGCTTCAACGTGCCCAGTCCACAGTACCCACCAGGGGGGTGGGACCTGTTTGGAAGTCATCATGAGTTAGGTGAAGCAGTTTTTTGTTGTGTGTGGATGCGTGTGTGTGTGTGAGTGTGGGTTGTTCCTATCCACGTTTGCCACTAGCTAAGTTAGTTCATGAAATGTAGTGAAATGATGATGCTGCGGGGGGAAATGGAGGGCTGAAATTTGGCTTGTCATATATTTCTTCTGGGGTTTTAACTGGGAATCTTCATCTTCGCTTGAGTGTTGCTAAAAGGCCACAGATCATGCTGTGGTTCAGGAACCCAGCGAGTCTTGTGTCTTAGTTGGATAGCCTAGTAAACCAACATAGAGATGGAAAAAACAATGGTTTCCCTGGATGGGTTTAGCGGAATTTAGTGGTAAAATTGTAAAACCATGGTTCCTGTAGATTCGTAGATTTTCACTTAAACCAACACCCAATGATTAAATACGGTATATACTTTGAATCTCAATGATCATTTTTCCTGTTTGTTGAATGGTTGAACTATGTTAATCTTCCATGTGTTTCCCCCTTGCAAACCAGTCTTCTTTTGCTGGAACATTGGGGTCATCGTCCAATTAGCCCCTGGCAATTGAACATAGTTACTGAACATCAGTTTTCCTGGATTTAAAATGGGTGAATCACCTATAGCTGGTTCCTTTTCCAATTCGCAGACCCTTAAATGACCAGAGGTGTTTTTAGATGATACGAGGCCAGCGGTTCAGATCCCACTACCGCTGCATTGCTGGCATCAGCTGATGGTCTTGGAGAAACGCGCCCGGGTGATTCGCTTCTGCTGATTTCTATTGATGTACCCGCTGGTAAACTAAAAAAACTATGGAACATCACCACTTTTATTAGGTAAATCAATTTATTAAATATTATACATGGTCCATTTTCAATTAGCTATGTTGGATTACCGGAGGGTACCCTCTGGTTCTTTAACAGTAACCCTCTGGTAAATTAACAGTTTGGCCCTGACAATAAAGCATTTTTAGTGGAAACTCATCTTCCAACCCCGATGAATGCCGGGGTCGAACTGTTAATTTACTGGAGGGTAGCTATAAAAGCCATGGCCCGCTTTGTTCGATGATTCACCGCTCTTAAACTACCAGAGGGTAAAGCTTCGAATTGTGTTATGGTGTGTTTAAGTTTCTGATAGCTTATGTGTTGATTCTAAATGGAAATATCGCGAAGTTATAAACCCAGCGAGAGTGGATCGTTGGTAAACATGAAAACATGACCTGTGTTGTGCTTCCATTCGTACATCAACTTCAATCCGTACTCAACTTGGACGGGATTCAACAGGATGAGACGCGTTAGCAGAGACCTTTGGTTCAATTGGTTCAATCCCGACTGGGATGCTACATCCGACTTTGAGAAAGCATATGTTGTCGCATTTCGTCCAAGAAATTCACAAGTCTTCATGTTGATGTTCAAGTGTTTTGCTGGCCAAATCCACATTGCCCGAACAGGTTTACATTTAGTAGAATCCCAAGGTTTGGTTGATGAACTCATAGCTTTTCCTCTGGTTATTCCGGTAGATGTTTTTTGTTGATGAAACCTCCATCATTTGTGTTGATGATTAGCCCCTTTTTGCGGGTATCTGGCAAAAGTCATGTACTTTATTTGGTTCTGGTATACCTGGTATATGGCAGTGAGGTCACGGGAAGATGAGAAAGACCTTGGATGAGAGCATCGCTCTGCCTTTCATGCTCAAGCTAAATTCATAGCGGTCATGCGATGGGAGTCGGTTGCATTGGCCTTCTTTGCCCAGGCCTTGCAAGCCGGACTCAAGGAAAGATTGGCGCAACCTTCCCAGCCTGCAATTGAAGCTGATATCCACACAGAATCCCTTTGTCGCTGCGTGTGTCATTGCTCCCGAGATTCTGGTGACTATTGGTGGCTACCTTTTTTCGTTGCGGGATTGGGGGTGGGAGGAAGTGCCACTTGTTTGTGCAGACGCCGCATCGAGCCGGCAGTGAGCAGCCCAAACCATCGACGTAGAGGCCATGGCATCATCTCAAAACCTGCTGCCTGGCATGACCCTCGCCGTCTTCTACGTTGACGACACGGTCTGGCACGAGCGTCTCCTCTTATGGCAGCTGTCTCCAGGTTGCTGGTACATTCTTACACCTGACCTTGATCTCTATCCTGAAGACCTGACCATGACTGGCGGTGATGGCCCTGTTAAGATCAAGGTGAAGGGCAAGGATTTTAGATACTGGTCCAGAGTGGGTGGTACTGGCTACCGGTTTGCTGAGCCAGTGAAGAGCGATGAAGTTTTGAAATCCTACATCAAGCAAGCCTTTCGTGAAGGCCAGGCTGAAGAGTCCTTTGACCCTGACTGGCGCCCCGAGCACATCATGGACGCCAAAGGAGGCTTGCAGAAAAGCAGTGAATTCTTGGGAAGCACACTGGTCCCTCGGAGAATGCGTGGTAGGGGCACAGGCATTTTGGATGGTGCACCAGCTGACTCTTCTGCTGTGGAGGTCTCTGGAGCGAAGGTCGGCCCCATTGTGCCGGCTTCTGATTCTCATGTGTGGCTGTGCTTAGAGAACATTGACGATCTCAAGTTTGGGCAGACTGTCGGGGTGAACCCCGCCACTGACTTGATGATTGATGACCACACTGGCCTGGTGCGCACCAGGAGTGGTTGGGCGAAGGTAGAGCTTTGGTCCGCAACAGAAGCGCCTGAGTTCTTGGAATCCCGCAAGATGCCTTCTGTTACACCGCCTGTTGCGCCCGTGTCAGTGCAAAGCAAGGAGCCTTCTGAGGAGTCTTCTGGAGACGCGCGCACCTTGTTCGTCGACTTCGACGCGCAAGGCGTGCGCTATAAGGAATGGCGCACGGTTGTCCAGGAAAGTGTTGAATATTCCTATCCTGATTGGCCTCACTCTGGGCCGACAACTGTTTTGCACCTGCTGAAGCACATGCACAAATACGGGGGTGACCCCAAGCAGTGGCTAGAATTGTGGTGTAGGCAGAAGGGCATTTCCGAACAAGACCGTGTGAAGCATGAGCTGCGCTGCTTAATGGAGGCATTCTACTTGGGGGGCACCTACGATCAGTTGAATTTGCCTGTGATCTCCGCCTTTGAGACCATTGCCCGTCGGGTGCAATGCATTGTGGATGCGTATGCCCAAGGGTCCAGCAGCTCCCCTGACTGGGGAAACGCTCGGCTCTTCACCGGCTACGTCGGACCAGATGATTTGATCATGCCGCAGCTGAAGAGTTGGGCTGCGAGAAAAGGAAAAGAAGAAGTTGAGCTGTTCCAAGCCCGCAACCGCATGAGAGACCTCCGAAGGACCTCAAGTGCTGCAGAAGAGGCTGCTGGAGCGGCTGCAGACGGCAATGTCCCAGCCGGCGGCAACCCCAAACCCAAGCGCAGAGCAAGGGGTAAGGGGCTTGAGCCGCCGGCAGCGCCATGAGCAGGGCAAGTGGGGCCCAGCCGAAAGGTCCTGCGGCTGAGCCTCCTCAAAACCGATTAGGACCACTTGCATGTGAGACCGCGGAAGGTGCCGAGCTGTTCCCTTTGCCGATGCCGGAGCCATTAAAGATGATTTCTGGTTTGAGCAGAGGGTCTGGACAGAGACTGGCCAGAAAAGTTCGTGCCCGTTTTGAACTTCGGGAGATGATTTCTTCCCTTAATTGGATGCATGTTGGCGACTTCGATGCTCGACCCTCTCAGCCCTGCACGCAGCAGCAGTTGCAAGTTCTGAGGAGGCTTCACGGCTTGGTCGAGAAGGCGGGTGACTTGGGTGAGCCAGGGCACATGCCGTCGCGGGAGGCAGCCTACAAAGAGCTGCTCCACGGGTTGGATGGCTACACCGAACCTTCAACCCCAGCTTCTCTAGCGCCCTTCAACCTCGAGCTCATTTCCTTGCCCAGTGATCTCACATGCGCAAGCAGCGCCCTGGAGCTTTTGCAAGGTGATGACCGTCGATATCTGGAGGAGCAAGAGCGCATGTTGTTACCAGCTGATTCCATCAAGCCAGGTAGCATGAGCAGTCCTTATTGGGACCCAGCACTAAAGAACAACCCCCGGGAGTACCGAAGGTTTATCCAGAAGCTCTGTAAGATTGGGTATTTGGATTTCACTTTGTATCCTTCTCAGCACGCCGGGGTTTTCTTTGTTTGGAAGAGTGACAAAAAGAAAATTAGGATGATCATTGATGCACGGCCAGCAAATGCAGTATTTAGGGATCCTCCCGGTGTCGCGCTATCCACAGCAGAGACTTTCTCAAAGATCGAATTTGTTTGCGGTGAGGATGACGACGCCAGCCCTCTTGGGCAACAGACATTTTCTCCACCTGCGGAACTTTTCGCAGGACTCTCAGATGTCAAAGATTGTTTTCATCGAGTCAAGCAGCCTCGCTGGCTGTCCAAGTATTTCTGCCTGATGCCAATTGAAGCGAGGCATGTTGGATTGACGGGGCAAGTCGTGGACGGACTGAAGCTCCGTTCTCAAGATTTGGTGTACCCCATGCCAGGCAGTCTTTGCATGGGTTTTAGTTGGAGTTTGTTCTTTGCTCAGAGAATAAATGAGGTGCAAATGGAGCATGTTCCTTCTTTGGCTTCTTCAAAGCTGATCAATGACCGATCAGGCCCAGCAGTGTTTTCTCATGATAGTTCCAGCCATTTAAAGCATTTTGTCTATGTGGACAATCTGGGTGTGATGTCCAATGACCGCGATGCCGTTGTCAAGGGCTTGGAAGAACTGTCCGAGCAGTTCACTGGCCAAAGCTTATTGCTCCACCCAGGTGAGGTGCAACATGAACGCATCAAAGCATTGGGGGTTGAGCTAGATGGCAGGGATCTGGTCACTCGAGTCAGCCCGGCCAGGTTCCACCGAGTTCGGCAAGGACTTCGATTCTTGCTGCAGAGAAACCGCTGCACAGGCAGGGCTCTCGAGATTTTGGTTGGGCATTGCACTTATTGTGGGTTGGTCAACCGCTGTTCTCTGAGTATTTTCCACAGTGTGTACAAGTTTATCAAGAAGAATTATTCACAGACTTGCGCTTTGTGGAAGAGTGTGGCTGCAGAGCTCCGTGCATTTGCAGGCATCATGCCTGCGCTCAGGGCCGATTGGTCCCGGCCTTGGAATGGGGAAGTGGTAGCTTCTGACGCAAGTGAAGAGGGGTTTGGTGTGTGCAGTCGCGCATGGCCAGCTTCACTCGCAGCCCAGGTTGGGCGCACTGCGGAACGTGATCGTTTCAAAAGAGCGGGAGGCCACAATGCAAGGGAGTCAGCTTTGACCTCAGCAGGTTTTGTTCGTGATGATGTGACAGGCCGGTGGCTCTCTGGAGACCTCGCTGACGAGGACTATCTGGAGGCCAGTGGTTGGAAGCTCGATGAGAAGTTTCCTGAAGTGCCTGCCACTGAGCTCACTGACCATGAGTGGTTCACTGTCCGCCAGGGGCAGTGGCGCAAAGCTGAACACATTGTGCACTTGGAAGCCAGGTCCCTAGTCAAAGCCATGGAAGTCATCGCACAAGACAGAAACATGACGGATTGCAGACAGCTGCTGCTGGTTGATTCGATGAGTTCTGCACTTGCTTTTGGACGTTGCCGCAGTCGTAACTATAAGATGCTCAGGCAGATCCGAAAATTGTGTGCATATTCAATAGGGTGCAACATTGGTTTCTCAGTCAGATGGATCCCCTCTGAACTCAACCCAGCAGATGAGCCTAGCAGAGTTTTCTCCACAAAACCTTCGCTTTTTTCCGCAAACCGTTCAAGCTATGTCGCCAAAGCGGTGTCCAACCTTGGCGCCACCGGCACCAGCGATAGCCGGTTCTGCGAAGCGGGCACGCATCTTGAGCCCAGGAGCAGTGGCAAGAGTGTCCAGTGGGAAGAGCCACAGAACACCTTTGCTGATCAAACCAAAAACGGCAGTGCAGCTCCTTCACGTCCCTTCGGGGCCGGTGAGCCGGTTGGAGGAAGCGCCAAGAGCCAGCTCGGCTCTGAATGCTGGCTCGGACAGCGAGCTTTCAGCGTCCACGTCCCGATCTCTTACCCCACCGGCCCGAAGCAAGAAGTTGGTGAAAAGGAGCAAGCAACGGCTGAAGAAGTACATAGACGAAATCATGTTGGCCTCCTCTCAGGGGTTAAGCCTTCTGGAGAAAAAGGCCATCGGCAAGAGGACCGAGAAGTATTACCTCCAAGAGTATGCAGACCTCATGAAGTTTGTGAGGGTCAAGGCGAAGCCTTTTCAGAGTCCTTCCGACATCGACCAGGGGATCACGGATTATTTCAACCACCTCTTTGTGACCGGCCACCCTGCCCACAAGGGCGACAAGATTTTGGCAGCTTTCATGCACCAGAATGTCAGCTACAGCAGGCATGGATCCCAACGGTTGCCAAAAGCTTACAGAGCCATGAAGGGGTGGCGAAGATTGAGCCCAGGTTCGTCAAGGAAAGCATTTCCTTTGCCAGTGTGGTCAGCAATCGCTTGCGAGATGAAGCGTCGAGATCATACCCAGATGGCTTTGTACACCATGATGGGTGTCTCAGCTTACACCAGGCCCAGCGAACTGCTCAGGTGCCGGGTGTTCTCACTCATCAAGCCTTCGCCCCGAGTGACGGAGCACTGGTGCTTGCTGCTGAACCCCGAAGAGCTGCCCGAACGCTCCAAAACAGGGGAGTTCGACGACAGCATCCCTTTGGACTCCGGCTATCTGAAGCCTTGGGCCCAGCCTTTGTTCAAGGCATTGACAACCAAAGGCGGAGGAGAGCCGTTGTGGAGCTTCGATTATGGCCGCTACTCCAAAGTGTTTCAGGAAGTGACCGAAGCCTTGGGTCTGGACGTCACCCCATACCAGATGAGACACAGTGGACCATCAATAGATCGGAGCAAGGACCTTCGGCCCTTGATAGAGGTTCAAAAGCGCGGCCGGTGGAAAAGTCACAAGAGCCTGGCTCGCTACGAGAAGTCTGCCCGTCTGGCTGCCAACTTCCAACAGCTTCCGCTGCCCGTCCAACAGCACTGCCTGCTCGCCGAGTCACTTCTCGAGGATGTGATGTGTGGCCGGGCCCGTGCTCCTCTGCCACCTTCCAAGCAAAGGGCCTGAAAGGTCAATATGTGGCCGACCTTTTTTCAGGCCATGGAGGCGTTGCCAGCCAGTGTCGGCTGTTAGGGTATGCTGCAAAAGAGTGGGAACTTGAGAGAGGTGCTCAGTTTGACCTTACCCAACCCAGAGTTCTGAGACGGCTCCAACGCGACATCAGCACTGGCTTAGTTCTAGCCGCAATGTTATCGCCTCCTAGTGCCAGCTTTTCAGTGGCAAAAGATAGAACAGGTTTTTCTCGGACAGTTGATTTTCCATGGGGCTTGCCGCCGGAGTTCCTGAGTCCTGCTGATTTTGAGAAAGTTCAACATGGCAATAGAATTTTTCAGGCAGCCCTAAAAATCATCAACTGGCTTCACACACGCCGCATTCCTTGGGTTTTGGAGAATCCTGCAACTTCAAAGTGCTGGCTTCTCCCTGAGCTGAAAAAGTTGGAAGCTTCTTCACGATGCGTTGCTTTCTTCACTGATTTTTGCCAATTTGGTGCTGCATGGCGTAGAAGCACCAAGTTCTTGTCTGGCAATCTTGATGCTCAGGACGTGGAGCGAGTCTGCCGACTATGCTCAGGCCAGGGTTGCTGTTCTCGCACACAACGGGCTCATTTTCAGCTCACAGGTTCAAATCACCAAGGTATTCCTTGGGTCCAGCTCGCACAACAATTTCCCCGTTCTCTTTGCAAGCACTTAGCCTTTGCTTTGACTGCCCCTACCCACTATTTGCCCACCTCTTCCTTGTGAACATGTATTTGTTTTGGGACATGCTTTGGGATTGGTTGGCAGTGCTCATACAGTTTCTCTTTTACATGATTTGTGTGGCAGTGCTCATTTTGTTTCTCTTTTACGTGATTCGCCTGGGCAGTGCTCATTGTGTATTTCATTTACCTGATTCTTATCGCAGTGCTTGCGGAACGATGATCCGGGCATTGCATGTGGGCACAGCTAACTAACTCCTTCTGGCAGGTGAGGTGACTGGCTGCACGAACCTTTTGATGATCAGTGCAGTTTGCAGATGTGGATCGGTGGTGGAACTCGCTAGTACTGTGCTGAGAACGCCTTGAGAAAAGTGCGCGGCAGAGCCAAGGGAATGTGCATCTAAATCAACCTTTGAATTGGTGAAATTCCAATTCTGGGTGGTAGTAACATCCATATATTCTTGTCGGTCAAGTCCAATTGTTTGCGACTTGACATAAATTGATGGATTCATTTAAGCCATGATTGTGGGTAACCTTTATGTTTTTTTTGAGTCACAGTGGTGTGTTTTCCAGGAAATCCATCCATGTTGACATCTTGGCTAGCCATGCTGGATTCCCGGAGGATCAATAGCCATATCCCCATCATATTCCCCGTGATCGGTTGATTGATACGTCATGACCCATGACGGATCCGGCTGGTGCTGGTATATATATATATATTTATATGCTAACATAAAGGGGGTATATTGATGGGATCCATGGCACACCATATATTAGCAGCACCATGGATCCGTCATGGGTGATAAATCAGGATAAATCTGCATGATGTTCCCATGATTTTCCCATGATTTTCCTGGAATTTTCCCATGACATCATCATTTCCTTAGGCGCTCAGAGCCCCTGGACACAGCTCTTGGCCGCCTGGGCGCCTGGGCAGAGCGCCTGGAAGGACAGCGCGAAGCCATGAGGCGGCAGGGTGAAACATATCGAGGAACTGAAGGGGAAAGTCATTGGGAATTCTAGATATAGTATCATGAATAGTATGAGGACATCAATGATAAACTATGTGAAAATATATTCAGGAAGATCCATGAAAATTATCCCATTGATATCCAAAGATGGGGATTCTACATTCTATACCACAATAATTGGGGATTCTACATTGGGATTTAAGGCATTTAACTCACCCAACATGATTAACCAATGGGGGATTTTTGTCGAATTAACCGTTATGATCACGAATTTTCATTTCATCGAGAAAATGGTTCAACATTGTGGTACCATCTATATACATATATAGATATAGATATATTTGGGTAAATTATAACGACCTCACTGCGACCTCACTGGAATCATGGTTAGTAAGGGAAATCATCCCCAAATGGCCTTAATTCAGGTTAGTGGAATATTATAATTTACCCAGAATATATAGATATTAATATGAATATGATACACATTTATATACAACTGGTTGGTGGTTTCAAACATGTTTTGATTTTCCATAATATATGGAATAATCCTTCCCAATGACTTTCATATTTGTTCAAAATGGTTATTGCACCACCAACCAGATCAACGTCTTTGCAGTTTATAGGTTATTAAACCATTATTAACAATTATTAACCATGATTAACCATTATTAACCATTGTTAACCATTTATATTCAATATATTTCTAGATTAGACATTCGCTTTAATCAAGTTCATCAACATGATTTTCGCTCCTTTTTGAGCCCATGTTTCATCCCGCACACCGAAAACGCCAGGCGCGGTGCACCTTTGGACAATGCCCTGCTAGCATCTCTGGCGGCAGAACGAGCGGATCTCCTAGATTGGATGGAGGACCGAGGGAGGTTTGAAGCCCCACTGGGCGTCTCATGGGCGACTCATGGGGAAAAGCCAGGGGTGACTGACTCATGGGGTGCCAGGGGATTTTAAATGATTTATAGCTAGATTGGGATGATTTGAGATTTCCTAAAGTAGGGCTACCCCGAAATCATCCATTTTCGATAGGGATTTGAGCATGAAATCTACCAACCAGCGAGCTTGGGATACCATCATTTGTGGAAGCCACCTTCCAGGATCACCTCGACGACTGTCATGGGCTGCCGTTGCGGGCTCTGCTGGCGGAACGCAGCGGCGAATTGGAGATGATGGCAGGCGGGCTGATGAAACAACTCCTGAAGGTCCGGAAACCAGAAATCTGGGTAAACTTGGCTGGGTACAAAGTGAGCCCCCCAAGATAACTATGTTGATTTGTAACTCCAATATCTATGGTTTATTGTAATTACTTATAACTCAAACTATCATAATTATAACCCAGCCAGGTTTACCTGTTATTCTATAAGTGAATTCTTATCAACTGGAAGACAAAATGGGTAAACCTCGCTGAGTCAATAAGTTATTCAGAGAGACTTCTTGACTTTTCCAAAAAAAACAACTCAACAAATGGATGTGGGTCAAAACCCTGTACCCCCAGTGAACCTCAAGGTTGATGGTCATCCCTTATACCACATGATTAGTAGGTTTTGACCCATACCCAAATCATGGCCACATTAGCAAAATACCAGGGTGAGATCACAGCATGTGTCCATCCTTTTCCAGCCTCAGCCGAGGCTCAGCCGCTGCCGCTGTTCCTTGGGCGATCCCCTTTGGGAGGGTTTGAATCCCCAGGTGATTTGGAACCATGGAATTCTATGACTTTCCATTCAGTTGGGAAGAATATATGTATATATTCCCAACTGACGAAGTCATATTTTTCACAGGGGTAGGTTGAAACCACCAACCAGATTATCACATATGATCACTATCATACTATAGATGACAATTTTCAATAGCTATGTTAAATTACCAGAGGGTAATCCATGAGGGGTGGTTGATATTTATTGCATTGCCTCCCAAAGTCTATTGTGACTAGCGACTTGTGAGGATCCATCGGACTTATCTGGTGATCGAGATCCATTTGCCACGAAGAAGAAGACCTTCAGCGATGATGATTTGCTGCCGGGCCTTCTTCAATGTGGTGAGTACTTGAGGATGGTTGAGGGCCATTGAGGTCTTTTATTGTTTTAGCATGTTTGGCTATGTTCTTTCTGCTGGGTCTTATGAGGTCTATTCCAGGAGTATACAATTTCTTGCTGTTGTGTTCAGTATTTTGTTTGCGGATGAGACACATATATCTTAGATTTGAGGGATCTCTCAAGAATCTTCGGCCGCGTAGCCTGCCAGCAAGTCGCTTCTGAAGACTGGAACTCTTGGTGTTCAGCTGAGGATGGTACAATGTGATTTGGGATTCCATCTGGGATTTTCATGGATTTTCATTAACCATTCATTGACCATATTTAACTCTATTGACCACCCTATTAACCCTGGTTGGTGGTTTGGAACAGTTGTTATTTTCCATAGTATATGGGTAATCCTTCCCATTGACTATTTTTTTCAAGATGGTTATTGCACCACCAACCAGATCAACATATTTGCAGTTTATAGGTTATTAAACCCTTATTAACCATTATTAACCATTATTAACAACCATCATTAACCATTATTAACCATTATGAACCATCATTAACCAGTTGTTTGACCACGGGACTCGAGGCTCTCCGAGTTGGAAGAGGCCAATCGTCGCCTGGGGCGCTTCGATGCGGAGCTGGAGAAACAGCGCAAGGGTTTGCAGAGGCGGCCCTGGTCTTAAGATGTTACCATGAAAGATGGGGATATCACTGATATAAATAACAATCATTCATATAGGGATTTAATTATGATAATAATAATAACAATAATAATAATTAATAGGGATTGATATGGATTGATCTTAGAATAGCTTGGAATATCTTGGAATAGCTTGGAACACTTGAACATGTTGAAATGTTGTGTTTGTTTTTCAGATGTTTAATCAGTTCAAATGATGGATAACTGTTGTTTTAACAATCTCTGTAACACATTGGAAAACTCAAAACAAAACATAGTAGAAATGTGTGTACATATATAATTTTTAAGGTTTGACCCCACGGACCCAGAAATGGGTATTCCTTCCTTTCGGACACCCACAAACAGAATTTGGGGTCTAGTTTCCCTGCATGTCTTGTGTATTTTTCTTGAAGGGTTCCCTAGTTATCGGATGTCACCCTGGCACCCCCCAACCCTTCGACATCTGATAGAACCAACGGACACGGTGGCAGTTGAAGCACGCACAAGATGTTTATTGCGTGTACACTGCGCTTTTTGTCGCAAGACAGGTTCGGATTTTTCCAGATTGGACCAGCTGTGAAATCATCCATCAGTTGATGGTGATCCCAATCAACGGCCATCCAAATCGTCGAAAATCATCCAATTTTGCCCCATGTCTTCGGCCACAGTTTCCATCAGTTTCCCTCCAAAAAAATCCCATGGCCCCGATGTCAAAGGCGGCGAAAGAAGGGCCAGGAAGCCTTTGTAGAGCCAGAGCTATTGGCTTCACTGGTGCAAGAGCGAGCAGCACTGGTGGATTGGGCTGAAGCTGCCTGGCGATCATCTCGGGGGATGAACTGGAACACCATTTCGATAGGTAAATCATCTACATAGCAGGGCATAGCCACGTGAAATTACAGAAGGCTATCATATTTTGGATCTTTGGCACTGGCAAATACCTGAAATGACTAGAAACTAAAGATTTATATCTATTCCAGATTTTGAATGTAATGTCTTTTATACCCGTTACTTTTGGAGTCCCTTTCATGATGGTGGGATGACCACAAAACCGACACCCAAAAACTACAAAAATGGCGACAGGAAACAGCAACTTGACCTCTAGAGCCTCTAAGCTCCTGAAATTCCCATTGATCATTAATCATCACAAAATTTATGTTTAGTAAGGTTAATATCTAACCATTGATTATAATATATAACAATTAAAAATAATTAACCATTGATCTAAGACCATGATGAATTATATTGATTTGTAGTTCATTAATTTGGATAAATTATAACGATCATTCATCATGGTTAAGGGGAATCATCCCAAAATGGCCGCAAGTTGGTTAGTGAATTATTATCATTTGCCCAGATTAGTATACCTCCTGATAAATAATGTCAATCCTGGATTCCTGGATTAAGAAACCCCGTTTACAGCTGTTTAATTGAGAGGGTACCATTTAAGTATTGGATGAAATGACTATTGGAGGAGTACTCCTCTAATATCTCTAATGAATAAACCATGGTTCATTAATCCGGAGTTAACATTATACCTACTGAAAGTACAGATGTTCCATTGCTAGATTAGATTACCAGAGAGTATAAGTGTACTGTATGTGATACTAACAAAGAGGTCAACAAAAATCATTCTGCCCACAATAGCAGTCATCATCCATCGTTGTCCTACACATAAACTCAATCATTTAAGTCGTCCTTTGTGTTTGTACCATCAATCATGGGAACTTCACAATCCAACAGTGAGGTGTTTGATCGTCGGGGTGAAGAACTCCGCATCGTCCTCAAATGGCTGAATAATAACAGCTATATTCAGGTTGTGTGTAAAGGAATAATAAGCCATCCCCCAGTCATCACCGTAAATAGGTTGTATCCCAAATGGGTGGTTTATCATTTAGACACATTAGTGATATTGAATTGCTATACTATAAATATAATTGAGTCAGATATTTCTTGATATTGAACAATTACTTTTGGACTTTCTTCTGGGTGTAGACAAGTGATTTTTTGGTGATTGTTGGGTGCAGTAGCTCGTCGGGACAATTCTTCACCTCACTGTGATAATCCTTGACACTTCCCAGTCATTTTGCGGAGGTGTTTTGCAATTAGTTCCTCACCATCCAGACACTGCAGTTGGATCATTCCAGTTCAAAAAGCAAACAAAAACAAACATAGCACATATATATATATATATAATTATATATATATACACACATAGCAGATTTAATATATTTATATATATACACACATAGCACACTTAGAAAAAAATATATACATACACCCAATCACTATCCAATAACTGGGATTTCAGATGAAATATCACCAGTTAAATCTCTATCTCCAATCCAATCTGCCCCAGGACTGGCTGCAGAAATCGGAAGATCTATCCCTGGTGGCTTTCCGTCAGCAGTGCCGCGTGGCCGCGCGGCGCTTGGAGCAGCTGGTCATGGAGGACCTGCAAACCCCGGAGAGAGCTGCTACGTCAGTGGATCCCTCGGCGTTGCTGGCGGAAGCGCGGAGACGTGACTTGGGCGCAACGTAGGTAACATAGGGCGTAGGGCGTAGGGGTGAAATTATGGTGAGCTAAGTGATATGGATATATGCTATTAATATCTGTTAATTATGCTAAACTTATGTTGGTTATAATTAATCTATGTTGATTATACTATAGTTTAATCTATTTTATCAAATAGCTAGGTTGTATTTGATTGTCTTATTTCACCATAGATATAGGGTTTATATCCCAATTTATGGTGGCTATAAAGTTATAACCGTGGCTATACCCATTGATAACCCCAACTGCACTCCCCAGTAGGGGTAAATATCTTTCTTGGGAACATATGGGAACTTAGATAGCCAGGTGTGGGAACACAATATTTGATCCCTGCTTAGGAAGGGGAGTCCAGTTAATTTAAAACAGTCGGGGGGAACAAGAGATCGTAGCCCCCAGCCTTTCGACATATTCATTTCAGCATATATTGCCAAACTAATGAGTATGCTTCAAAAATTGTGGCCCTAGAATGTTCGTGGTTCAAAAATCAAGCATGACCATAGAACAAATAACATGGGGGACGATCAATGGTTTTTACATGTTTTCACTTCATCTTGAAAATTAGCTGGTGGTTTTAAATATTTCTTACTTTTCCATCCTTAGCTGGTCTGAACCCCAACTGACAGGTTGCCACAAGCCTCCAGGCAGACAATCTGACCATCCTAGGGTTTTTTAGGCGAACATAATTTACAAAAGCAACCCCCACATTGGGGATCCGATATAGAGATTCCCTCCAACTTGCCGAGAGAAGAGTCTGGTCATTGCTGGTCCAAGGACTTCTGATGCTGGAAGAGGAAGGCAATCAACGCTTGCGGCGGCGGCAAAGGGTACGCGAACCCAGCGGTGGCCATGGGGATTTGGCAGACCAAAATGAGGATATCATGAATGTCATGAAGAATCATAAGGTTCGAATGGGGCCCATGCCCAAGCCGAATCACAACGAAACGACATGGTTTTGCAACCCCATCCCTTCTGAGGACCCAAGATGTTGTTTTAATCATGGAAGATTTAAGGTGCTTCCTGGAGCTGACAATGAAGAGCTTGGTGATGACCAAGATCCACTTGGCACCAAGAAAAGCCGCTTTGATGACCACGATTGGCTGCTTGGATGCGACAGAACTGTCGCTCAAAGTTGATGGATGACCCAAGATCTTGCGGATGGGAGGTCATTGATACGTCCATTTCATTCCATTTCTACCAGACACGATCTAGTTGACTCCTTTTGTTTTGAAACCACTAGTTCAGGTTTGAGAAAAAAGACATCTGAAATGGCCAGATCCATTCCTCCTCTTGGTTCAAACAGCATTTGTATATCTGATATATCACAAAATTGGTAATCAAATCATATCACATCTGGCTGTTCAGGAAGAAAATTTTCGAGCCAGCCAAGTTTATGATGGTTTATGATACTTATGCCTATAGGTGTTTATTATAAACCAACTCAAAACTTATAACGTTGATACTTACAACTATAGTAGTCATAGGGGTGAATCTAAACCAACATAACCATCACTGTGGGGCGGGCACATTATACCCATTATATCCCATTATCATATTCATTATTAAACATCATTAACCATTATTAAACATTATGAACCATTATAAATCATTATAATATCCGTTATTAAGCATTATCATATCCATCATTAACATGCATTAACCATTATCAACCATAACTGACTATCACTAATCATTGCTTTTGTTTCCCATAGAAAAATCCCATTAAGCCAAGCCATTTCCGATGTACGGCCGTGGCTTTCCCCGAGGCAGTCGGCCTTGGAGGAAGCACAAAGACGCCTGGCACGTTTCGAGGAGCAGCTGGAAGAACAGCGGAACGGACTACAGAGGCCTGGAGGAACCGATGGGTTGTAGGATGTAGGTAGATGATAGCGTATATGGTAGTATATGACAGTAAATGTAGAAATATATATATATATGTAATTTAATGGTACTATATGATGAAGTATATGATAGTATTATGATAGGCTTATGCTAGTATACAGTATATATATATATATATATATATTTTGGGTGATACTGTATACATCAACTGATGTAGTACATTCTACAGGAAATCATGGTTGTTAGATTCTTAGACCCAAATCGACCTGGGTTTCCTCCATATTAAAACATAAAATTAAAGATAAACAAATAGGAGAAGTTGGCCATGTGAAATAGACCAGTTCAATAAAATTGGCTTATAGCCTTACAATGTTTGAAATATCTATAATATGTGGCTTTCAATATTTGGCTTTCAATATCTGGCTTATATCTTTATATTTTATAGGGTATATTTGGCTTATATCTCTGACCATTCAATATTTGGCTTAGATTACAGTAATGGGTTGTGCTCTCTGGCTTGATCCCATGGGATTATGGATTGTCAAATATCAATCCATCGTCTACCGGAGGACGTACAGTACATCCCACTGATGGCGAAGTACAGTTATGGCCCTTTACCAGTTATAAATGCTTATATATATGCTTATAAAATCTTATAAATGCGTATAAGTGGTTGTAAATTGGGTTATCATTCCATACATGGTGTTATAACTGACTTATACGTGGTAAAGGGCCTTAACTGTATTTTGTTTTGAACAAGGAAACGCAAGCAGAAGGATTCGATGAACAAGGAGACCCCAGGTGAAAGTGCATTGAACTGTTTCTGTTCGCCCTAAAGGTATGTTTGCAGTTTACTATGACACCAAATTTGCCCACCTTTATTGCTGTGAGTTCGTGATCAATTCTATCAATATATTATAACCTTTTGATCAATCATGTCCAAACATTTGCCAATTTTTCATGTTGCAATCTTTCTGTTACACGTTTCGTTGTTTTTTTTTGCGCTGGCCTAAAATCTGCTGACACTCCTCAGTCTCCCAGGCGCCGCAAAAAAGGTGAGGATGCCGTCGATGCCGTGCCGTTGCCCGACGAACTTCTGACGTCGCTGGTGTCGGAGCGCGCCGAGCTGGTGGAATGGGCCGAGGCTGGTTTCGTGGGAAAATTTCGGCCGTGGCCACGATGAGGGTTAAACTAATGGTTAATAATGGTTAATAATGGTTAATAATTTTTATTTAATGGTTTATAACCTATAATAACCTATAAACTGGTTGAATAGTTACCCGGCCTGGTAAACTGGCTGACATAGCACAGCTTACCAGAGGGTAACTCCAATGTCACTAAGTGACTATGGTTTATGGTACTGAAAAACTTACTGGTGCTAAACGTAGGGAATTTTCGGGCATGATCCATGTCATCACTTGTAATATTGTAATAATCATCCCATTCCCCCATTCCCATCCATTCCCTACTAAGCACCAGTAAGTATATGGTACTGAAAATACTAAA